CTAAGACTTGATCGAAGATGAAGTCCGGCCAAGTCTATGTTGACCGGATTTGTATTGTGCCTTGTGCTTGATTGATAAAAATTGTTATTTTATCATAAAATGGAGATTTAATATAAATGATTTTGGATTAATAATAATTTTAATGGTTGTGGTCTATTTGGAATTATTTTTGTGAAATGTTTTGATGAGGAAATAAGGGTGGCATATCAAGGAGATGTGTACCATGGGATAATGGTGACATATCAAGGAGATGTGTACATTTGATATAAGAGTGGCAATTGTATGTGCGTTGTATGATATAACTCTTTCTATTATATCCCTTAAAACTACCGTGGTCTGGAATCTTTATTTCTTTGTGATTTAAGGATTTAGAATCAAGGTTCTTATTGGAAATCATAGTCTGTATGTTATTGAGGAGAAAACATCAGGTTTGGCCTGAAACTTTATATAAACCTTGTTGATTAGAAAAATGTTTAAAAGTGGCATTATATGGAACCTAGCTGGTTCAAAGATATGATATTTGATTAGCCAAATGCTTAACTTGAAAAGTGGAAAGGATTTGGTATTTTGTTTCTATTCGTTCATATATTTGTTATATATATGAACAGTTGTTTTTCATAAAGGTTTTGGTGATTTTCACCCTGCAATATCATAATAGGGTATCTCACTAGACCTTTCGGTCTAACCCTCATTTTGTGATATTAACTATGTATTGCAGGAGGTTCGGACGGAAAGGGAAAAGGGAAAATTTGATATTTTTCCTATATGCATTTCTACATGAAGATCTGTCTTGATGTATAGTTTTGATTGATTAGTACAAAAAATGTATTTGAATTTTTGGACCTTATATTTGGTTATAATAAATTTTTGTACTAAGGGACCTGAATGAGATAATATTATGTATTTCTTTTGTATGAAATATGTGTTACATGCATTTTGTGGTTTGGGGCGTTTTACCCTTCAACCCCTAAACTTTCATCTTTCATGAAATGTAACTGGTCTAATCCCTCGGTTTGAACTTTTACATTATTTAAGTTCATGATTTTGGAGTGTTACATATATTCTACAAGTAAACTTAATCTTTTTAAAATCAAGATGAATTTCATAAAATTATCAAAACTTGTTACATGTATCACAATCAATTGGCATCCTACTTGGCTACCTCCCCCTTTTTGACAATTTTGCCAAACGAATCAATTTTTTTCAAAGAGTTGGTTCAAAGGAAAGTAAAGAATCTTCGGTCATCGTATTTTTCAACTCGAATAATTATCACCGTCTTGCGTGATACATTCATATCCAATAAGTTTTTTTATGTTGATTTCTACAATTAGCTTTTACAGTTAAAGATAAAGTTTATATTTGAAATTTAAAAATTAAAACGAATCAAATAATACCCGTAATTAATTATTTTTCTCTTCTTTTTTTAACTCAAACTAAAAGAATTCGTATATATAGTTTTGGGTTCACGTGAGACAATGTTGCTTTCCTAAGACACGTGAGACATAATTTTTACACTTGAAACTTCACAACAAAATGTTGTGAAGGTTACTTTCACAGTGTTTTGTTGTGAAGTTTTAAGTGTAAAAATATTGTCTCACATGATCCAAAATCTATATATATATATATATATATACACACACACACACAATCTTATAAACCAGATTTATCAAAAGTTTTAAAAACAATTTTTAATTCATAAAGTACTATACATTTATGCATAAATTCTTAAAAACATCTCATAATGCATTAACTACTACTACTTTATGCATTCAGTCTTAAAATCTCTTAATCTACAATTAAAATAACATATAGTGCAAGTTACCGATGCACATTATTACATTTTCTTTTCATGTTCCCAAGATATTTTTGATACATTTCACTCATGTCTTCACTCTCTCATACCTCTATGTCTTCTCCCAATCTCTCAAGGTGAGATTCAAACTGATATTCACCATGAGTTATTAAAAGTTATCACATTCATCTTCCATTCAATTTTGCTCTAGAACTCTCGGTCTCGGTCTCGATCTCTTGAGTCTTTGCTCTTGGTGTAAATCGAATACATTTGTGGAGTCGTTTAAATATGTTGGATTTTAAACTGTCATACAATTTTTTTCATCGATAGACTGTAATTAGAACCATAACTCTTACTTATTCAAATTGTATTAATATGTAAAGATCAAAAGTAATTTATATCATCGTGAAATCTTCTCTGATAAAACTAGTGAAACTTCAAAATCATTAAAATTATGGGTTCTGCCGTATTGCATGGGTATACAACTAGTATGTATATATGTGTGTGTATATATATATATATATATCAAATTGGAAGGCAATGTGGTTAATTACCAATTGCTATTTTGCTTTTTTCTTCTTTCCCGTAGGCTCAGTAGTGTTCCACAAGTTACTTATTCAAACTTTTGTTTTCTAATGACTTAAAGAATTAAGTACAAAATAACTTAACTTTGCATATATAAAGTACTACAACTTAATTAAACTTTTATTAAATTAAAATTAGAAACTTTTCACGTCAAGCATCCAGAATTCTAAGCGTCGTTTCGTTTGACGAAAGGTTTTTGGAATGATTTAAAATCTTTTGTGCTTTACAGTTTGTTTGATTAAGATCCCTTAAACGTGAGTCTAATAAACGTGGGTTTTTGCATAATATATATATATATATATATATATATATATATATATATTATAGGTACTGCAAGTGACGCTATAATAAGTTTATAGGATGTTTTTGGACGTCTTAACAAAAAATTTATAACACTTTTAGTACAAAGTGTCCTATTAGCAGTTTTATAGGATCTTATTTGAAAAAGTGTCATATAAAAACAAGTATCCTATTAGCAGTTTTATAGGATCTTATTTGAAAAAATGTCATATAAAAACAAATGTCTTATAAAAAGATGAGTTTATATGACACTTTTTTCAAAAGTGTCATATAGAACTGCTAATGTAACGTTTTGTATTAAAAGTGTTCTAAAAACCTTGTTAAAACGCATAAAAGCATTATATAAACTTATTACAACGTCTTTAAATATGATGTTTTAATTTTTGCTCATATTACTTAAGTCTTATAAAATAATCTATTTATTAAAACACTTGATTTTTGCTCCTAATTTTGTTGTAGTGATTTTTCTCTTAAAAAACCAAATAATATATATATATATATATATATATATATATATATATATATATAAAGTTGGACTCAAAACTAAGTATAGAACACACACACACACACATATATATAGGGCAAAATGTATAAAATAGCAATCTATTTTCATAAATTTCTTTATTATAGTATTGTACTTTCAGTTTTTCTCATTACAGCTATGTACTTTCAAATTATCTTTTATTAGGACATTGTACTTTGAAAAATTTACCCATTATAGCATTGGGTAACCTTTTGATTTAAATTTACCAATTATACTAGGTTTCCATGCCACCTCATTGTCCACGTAAGCTGTCCACATGTACTATAGTGATGTGACTTTCTTACTACATCATTGTACTTTCAAAATTATTTTTTTATAGCATCTACTAGTTCTTATTAAACACTGTATTTTTAATTTTAATATTTATATATTTTACATGTTTTTTTTAATAAATGTATTAAATGAATTAAAAATTTTCTAAATTATTCATTAATATACCAATATCAATAAAACTAGTAGAACACAACTTATCTCGCTAAAATTTTTAAAAAAATATGTGTTTTTTGAAAAAAAAGAAAATAAGAAATGTTCTTTTTTTACCAAAAAATATTATCTTTACTTGACGAATATATTATATTTGTTTAAAAACTTTTTACTTGACGTATAAATATATCAAATTAATTAGATTTTTTTGAAGTATTTATTAATATAACAATATTAAAAAATTGTAGATAACAATCTATTTCGTTAATATTTTAAAGATAACTTTAAAAGATATGTATTTAGTTGAACAACATAAAATAGGAAAAGTTGTCTTTTTTACAAATAAAATATATCTCGAAAATAATGTTGCATATTTATTTAATAAATATTTTACTCTAAGAATATTTAATTTAAATGCAACTTAATAAGAAAAAGTAAAAAAAAATTAAATGTTTTTTTGGATAATAGCAATGAAAAATGAAAATCACTAATAATAATTTGAAATATTTTTTATTTTAATTTTAGTTAAGTCATCAAAATGATGTGTCATCCACATCACCTCATTAAAGCCACACAAGCAAAAAAGTCAAAGGGTTAACCGATTTAAAAGGTAACAGGTTACCCATTGCTATTATGGGTAGATTTTTTAAAGTACAATGCCTTAATAAAAAATAATTTGAAAGTACATTGTTGTAATAAAGAAAAACAAAAGTAGAATGCTATAATAAGAAATTTTGTGAAAATATGTTGCTATTTCATGCATTTAACCCATATATATATTATAAAAAAATAAAGTTGGACTCAAAACTAAGTATAGAACCTCTGCAGCAATTCGTTGCCCTCACTTATTAATATATCTCTCTCACACACACACATATATATATATGACAAGTTCAAACGAAATGTTAAACTTTTTTATGAAAATATGATAAGTTTTAATATTATATATGATTAACACATGTTACATTGATAATACATAGACGTTTAATCATATGTGATTAAACACATCCAAATAATTATAATAATATATGACATTAAAATTTCACATGATATATATAGTATATTGTGATATTAAAAAAATATATAAAATCCTAAATTAAGAAATATATAATACAAAAAGAGAAAATGATATCGTAGACGCATGAAATGATATTATAAAGTGGTCAAATGGATATATATTTACCCAACTTGAAAGGGATACCTTTTGGCTGTCTTTATTTGAAGCTGCCACGTCATATGTATGTATTATATTATTCTTTGTATCCCTATCCCACACTTAAAGGAATAAAAAACCATGTTATATATGTAATTTGGTAGCCCAATAATTGTAGTCAAGACTGCGCCAAACATTTGACGTCTATCTTTCTCTCTCTCTTCCATTCATCTTTTATAAATTCAAACCTTTCAAGAAGCAAACACTCCCAACTAATTCTAATTCTAATTCTGATTCCAAATGGGTGCAAAAATGAAGGAGATGCCCGTGGTGAGCAAGATGTTTTGTTCATCGACTGACGTGGTTCTAGGGGTTCGATCACGTCCCCATGTTGTAGGTGGAGGTGGTTTCGTAGTCACCGATTTGCATACCCATCAACCCGTCTTCCAGGTTGATGGTTGTGGTGTTCTTGGCAAAAAAGACCAGATGACTCTCACAGACGCCTACAAAAACCCCGTGCTTCTCATCCGTCGCAAGGTAATTATTTCTATTATCTGATTCAATTTTCATTGTTTTGTTATATATAGTATATAGAATATGATATTATATATGTATATAGGGAGGAATAGTTGAAGCAGTAAGCCTGCATAGACAATGGGGAGGTTATACCCCAAATTACCAAGGATGTCAAAAGCTGGTTTTTACATTGAAAGATCCAAAATCATGCTTCCCGAAGAAGGGACCCATAAGCGTTTCGATTGAGCTCAAGGATGAAAGCATCTACTGCAAGAACTTCCAGATAAAAGGTTACTTTTTAGACAGAGATTGCAGCATCGTCGACTCAGGAGGCAACGTCATTGCCCAGGTATATATGTTTAATGTTTTGTCTCTCTCTCTCTCTCTCTCTCTCTGTGTCTGTATATATATATATATATATATATGTATATGTATATATTTAATAATAATAACTGGAAAGTGTGTGTAATGTATATAATATATGTGTGATTATGCAGGTTGGGGTGAGTAAGGAGGTGCAGCAAGTGATGGAAAAGAAGGATTTATATCATGTGGTGGTGAAGGCAGGGATTGATCAAGCATTTGTGGTGGGTGTGATTGCGATTCTTGATTACATTCATAATGGATCCACAAGATGCTAATCCAATCCCATTTAAACAACAATCAAGTGTTTTGGTTGCATCTGCATGTAACAAATTTATTCAAACTCTTCAATTCTACTTATTTAGATTACGTAACGTCTAAGAAAGGAATTTTGGAAATTATATGGTTTGGTTTTTCATAATGGACGTGGAAACTCAAACTTTGTATATATCCACATGCCACCTCACCTGTATTGTTTTTTATCCTATATCTATCTATCTTCATTTTCTCAATTTAATTATTATTTAATGAGGATGCTCTTTTTTTACTGTAAGTTTTTAGCTATTTTCTTTTATCTTTTCATATAATCTTCAATCTTTTTCCATAGATGCTTACATGTGATTATAATATTGCACCTTCCTAAAGTTGTACTACATCTACCAACCTTATTTCGCTAGCTAGCTTGTATTTGTCTGTTCGACTATATATGCTCGGTTATTTCATATATACTTACTTTTTCTTGTTTCCATTTCAAAGCATAATTATGTTGGCCCATAAGTTATCTTTTGGAATTGGATGTTCATAGGAGAGATCCGTCTTTTTTGTTTTATATATACGTACCATGAGGATTCTTTTTTTAACAATGATAAAATCACCCATACTACTGTTTTCAACTGTAAAAGGTGAACAAGTTACATATACTAAAACAATTGAATCTTGGTTAGCCATCCGTTATGTTTAATCCCGCCGCCGGCCAACGTCCGGAGCATATCATTAAAAATGCACATGCATGTGTAGTGTAGTGTAGTGTACACATTTCATAACATATATAGCATAAGGAAAGTCCAATACTTCATTTGTCACTTTTTACTGTTATGCGGGTCCTTCTCTAACACCAAATCTTTGTTATTTATCCTACAATATATTATGACTTTTAATATTTTAAATAAATAAAATTATAATGATTGAATAAGACTAATTTATTTATTTATGATAAAATACATTCTTCAATTTTATATTGTATTAGTTAATATTACAATGTCTCACATTTAGATTAGTAACATTTTTCTATGCCCAACTTAGACATTTTAAATTAACATTTCATTTCATTTCATTTAATACATAATTTGATTTTGACTTGCATAATCAAAAGCTAAGCTTTTTCTAAATGAAAACATAGTGACCCACCAGGATTCCACCCAGAAAAAAAAAAAAGAAAAAAAAAACAGCCTAGCTCCAAAACAAAAGCAACACGGACCGCTTGGACTTGGACTTGGGTCCAAATTGGTCATGGACCGGACCTCAGAAAAAGTGCAATTTGGTTATCTCCATCTCCTATCCAACTACCCACCCTTGATTCCAACCAGCAGGCCAGACAGACACGAACCACTACTTGTTTATTCTTGGCCTGACACGTTGCAACAACGATGGGGCAGATTTTGAGCCAATTTTGGTCGTTTTGAGGTATTTTCAAAGGGCTTATCGTACAACATTAGAGTCTTAAGTGATCTACGACATTTGATACCAAAGTTTTTAAAAAAGATCTAAGCTCCAATCAAAATTGACCGAGCAAACCATCTCATCATACTTTGAAACCGAAAAAAGTAGATAAAAACTTCAAAGAGAAGTCGAGAAGCTATACCCCAACTCAATGCTTGAACACCCTTTCACGAGTTGATGCCTTAAGCTTCGAATCTCTGATAACGCAACCTCAGTTGCGATTGCTATAATTAATTTAATTGAGTCTCGGGTTTGATTTGGATAAACCAAGAGCTATATGTTTACAAAACATACAAATTGGGTTTTAGACAAGGGTCGTGTGAGAAATAGAAGTTAGGTTGAAAAGTCATAGGTAGGAAGGATTTGGACCATTGAATTGCGGAAATTAAATTTAAAATATTAAGAATTAATAATAAAAACAAAGCTGGATATGGATAGAAACGTGGGTCGGTTGCTGCATGGTTGCATAATGATTCATGTGCATTGGATTGGTTAGCCGCATATTGGCAGGAAAGGAAGCACCAAAGAGTAAGATATGCGACCCCTTTGCGGGTTTGGTAGGCGATTTGGATGCTGGTTGAGCCGCATCGATCGCACCTGCATTCGATTTTGTTTCCCTTGCTTGATCTGGGCTTCCTTCAATTCGAGATGGACGTTAAGTCTTGAATTCTCGAACCTGGACTATGTATTATTAGTATATGTGTGTGTATTGTTTCATTTGTTACAAGAATTGAGATCCAAATAAGGCGGTATGAGTATGAACTCAACAAATAAATATTAAAAAAATTAAACTATTAAATTCTTCTAATCCTCAACTTCTCCTTAATTGATGGAGTAAAGTCTTCTCAAAGTTTGCCTCATCTATACTATATTATAAAATATTTGATAAAAACTTTTAATTTTTCTTTTAATTCATGAAGTACTGTTTATTAATACATATTACTTAAAATTGGACATTACAAGTAAATTGTAACTAACTGCAGATAAACATCTTATTTAAAATCTAAAATGTAATTAGAATAATTATTGAATTGTAACAGAATATTTAATTATCATCTTTATAAAAAAAATATTATTAAACTAGAAATAAATTGTTTCGTTATTAAACCTAAATTAAATTATAATAAAAATTGAATCAAATAAACTACACAAAAACGAAAACTTTTAAATAGTTAATTTGGATATACTATTTTAAAAATTTTAATTGTAATATCTTTAAACTTATATTTTATTAAAAAATAAAAACATTATTACTTTTTTAAAACTGTATTTTATATCAACGAAGACAAAGAATAAAACAAAATAATAAAATAAAGATGTGTTTTAATATATTGTACGAATACCTTTTTAGTTAACATAAAAGTCAACTAATTAACCAAGAGTTTTAATAACCATTAGTTTGTATTTTAATTACATGAAAAGAGGAAAGAATGTTTTTCTAACAACGAAAACAACAATAATAATCATAATAAGACACAAAACACACAGTTTGTTACAATAAGTAATGAAGTTGGTTAAGACCATGTTTGATAAACACAAGTTAGCTTATTTAATAAATAAAAAAAACTGTTTAACATTTTAAAAGATTTTTGACATTTTTTTTTAATTATAAGATTAATTAATAATAATAGTTATTTATTACTAATGATTAATTATTATATGGGTATGGGTGTGGGTGTGGGTGTGGGTGTGTGTGTGTGTTTCTAAAAAAAATAAAGGGGGTAGTTAGGAATGGGCATCGACAACGGCATTAAAGAGAGGACACTTCTCCCCGACCCCAATGCCAATGGGAACGTCCGACCCTCAAATATCTCCATTTATTATTTACCCCCCCTCCATTATTCCCTCGCTCTCATTTAACCCCCCTCCACTTTCTATTTTGCCATTTACAACACATGAATCAATAATCATCTCCTTCATTCCACACAAACACAATAATAATAATAATAATAATAATACTACTAAACAACCTTTTCTCGTGTTAATTATGCACATCTGTACAACAACACACCACAAGAATTAGACCACTGGTTACAAGTCTGCTTTAAATCGTTGCATTCACGACGGCCATCCCTATTCTCAAACACAAAAACACACAGTAAATGCCAATAAGCCCCATCCCCAATAACTTGTTAGGTTGCATTTGGTTTTTCGGCAACACGACCAGCGACCAAACGAGCCCGATTATGATAAACCCCATATTACAAAACAAACCGCTATCACGAGACATTATGTAAGCCTCGGGTCGTTTTGACCACGATCCAATCAACATTGAAATCCCCAAACCCACGAGTACGTTGAACATTGGCCCAGCATAGCATCCTGATATTGCTATCTGCACACCATCCGCTCCATTCAATGCAAGTGCAACATTCGACATCAAATCACCCATCGAGTTCCCCCATGCCAACACCGTTAACCCAAGAATCGATGGGCTCACCCTAAAGATGTAACCGAATGCAACCAGAAGAGCAACTAGCTCATCTGCAACCATACAGAACCAAATGATGCTCATAAGGAACCCTCCTAGAACCCAAGGAAGCAACATCTTCTGTGGCGGGTGGTCGCAACTAGTGCACATATATGCAGCAAAACCAAGCGAACACCCAAGAACCGCACCGCCTATATAGATCAGGTTTTCGCCCAATTGACCGCCATCCGGGTCCTGGTGACTGTTCCAAACGAAAGCCACTAGTAACGGTGCCAAAGTGACGCTGGCCACCGCATAACCTTTTGACCATCTATCTTCTTCTATAATAGGAATGGTTAACCTTCTTGATAGCATTAAAGGAAACTCTAACCATGTGAACAACTTGGAACACCAAAACAAGAAACCCGAACTCCGATTTGGTGTCTCCCCATCAATCCAACCCCATATGGGTTTCGGGCTATCCGAATAGATTGCCACAGTTGTTCCCCACATCCAATGTGGAACCTTCGATTCCACAAGATGTGGAACGTCTTCTGTGTCCGAAAGCAGCATGTGAATAGATCGAAAATCGCTAATTTCTGGGGCGGTTGCAAGAGGTAACAATGGTGCATACTCGTCTAACTTAAAAGCTCCATTCCTTTTTCGCAAGATTTCAGTAGCGGCCACAAACGTCGCATAGAAAACATAGATGGACACAAAGGCAATCGCGCCACCTACATTAACCTCACCCACAAACAAGATAACAGCAAGAGACACAATAGCAAACAGAAATGCAGACACATCTCTGACGAAGCATTTCCGGTCGATGGTCACGCCTTGACCAGCCACGCAGAGCGAAATCGTGCCCACGACAACACAAATGACAAAAACGGCTCCACCGGAGATACTATTGAGTCCGACATCGCCATTATCGGTACCCACAAAAGCAGCAATGCTAGAAAAGACATCAGGGGCACCATTTCCTAATGGAAGCAAGGTTACCCCTGCTACAGTTGGTGCCAACCTCAATACATTAGACAATTTTTCAAGACAAGAACAGAAATAATCTGCAGAGGTATTCCCCAGAAGATAAAACAGGGCAGCTAACCATATGACAAGAATCATGTAACCAAAAGCAGCATAATTTTGACAATCACAGTAGAAAAACTCCAGATAATAAAAGAAGCCATCTTCATCACATTGGGGGTTAGCTTTCAAGAACTCACATTGGTTTTCAAAACCTTTGTGTTGATTCAGCCCAGAACAATCAGTGGGTTCTGGGACCTTGAAAGTGTAATTTGAAGTGAGCCCTAACCCGACACGATGGGTAATCGGTTTATTAGACGGTTGGTTGAAGACGAAAACGATGAATGCAAGGAGACAGAGAGCATGGAAAGAAGAAGAGCGAAAATGAATGGGTTTGAGATGGGAAATTGTTTCCAAGTGTCCCATCTACAAGAAGAAGAAGAAAGGCAATTTGCTTAAAGGAATTAGGGTTGTTAATGAATTTAGAAAGGGAAAAAAGAAGAAGAAAAACAGAGTATGAATCGAAGATGGTTCCTATTCCAAAAGAGAAAGAATGGAAGGGGAGGTTATGAGGGTGGAGAAGATGGCAGGAAAAAGGGCGGGTATGGAGGTTAAAGAAGCAAGCAACCGAAGAAGAGGAGAGAAGAGAAGATGCGTGAATTGTGTCGTCGAAGAGTGTATAGAATAGAATTGACTTTTGAACGCGTTTTGAATATATAGACAAGGATTAAAGTCACCGGTGCTTTCTGAAGGAGGTCACAACCAAGGGAAGGGTGGGTGGGGGGTGTGTCGACCGTGGGAAAATTGAATAAACACTAAATTGTATTTTTGGTCCTTGTGCTTTTTACTAATTTTCTTACTCATTGTTTATCAAATATCTATGTATTTATCATTAAGGGTTATCGGTCTCATTGGATAACATTTCTAGCTATCAAAATAGATTATTGATAAGTATCTATTATCCAATAAACACTTATCGGATAAGACTCTTGATGCTTGTTTTATCTCCTACCAAGTAAGATTATGGGTCCTTCTATATTCGTCTAGAGTTTTTATGCAAATTTTTACCCCTTTAATGTTCATTTTTGATCGGTCGTGTTCATTTCCATTAAAAGGATGTCGACTTCCGTCTATTATGGGAGGTATATTTTGATCTTTTATCATTTCTCTTTTAAAAGCATAAAGATTACATACATATACATATACAGAGAAGTTAGGTGTTAATAAAAGAAGTAAATATAAGGGATAAAATATTCGTTTTTTATATAATACGTTTGATTAAAATATTAATTATTTGTTAGATAATTTCGTTTAAGAAAGAAGAATAAAAACTATTAACTCATATATGATTCTATATATGATTACATGTGACAACACATATAACGATTTTTCATCTTATACATCAATCAATGAGATTGTGTACACCATGACGTTTTCTTAAAGTATATAATATTTATATACAGCAACTAAACCCATACACATTCTCACATTTGGTAGAGTTTGAAACTCTGACCTCTTATAAGGGCAAAAGTCTCAGATACCGCCAAGCCAAAGAGCATTTAGTCACCATTATGCTCTTATTGTGTAAATGCAATACATTATCACATTTGATTGTATGTGATCCTATATGTTATCATATATGATCATACACAAACCCACTTCCGATTCTAAATACAATCACACGTAATTGAATAATTATTATATTGATTTGTGATATTAACATTATTAAATTTTGTCTTAATCACATTTGATTAAGACAAAATTGGAGCATCATATGTCCCGAGATTGGTGCATTTATGATCCAGGAAACCTATGTCAGTATTTGTATACAAGATAACATGTTGTTATGTGCATGATGATAACATTTTTATCCTATCATGTAAGCATCGACGATATTACATGAGAATTAATATCTATTTAAAGAGATAGAATGAAAAAATAATATAGCAATATGGATGTCAGATTGAAAATAAATAAAAAATGTGAATGCTCCACCCATCCCCCAAACAAATACATGGAAACAAAAAATCAGCAAATGAGATATGAAGCACACAAAAATCGAATATCAGCAAACCATGTCGATACCTGTCAACCAATTATACGTGTAAATGCGTATGTGATTAATTCATCTAATAACTATAAATATGTAACAATTCATTTTAATTAATATGGAATTCCATAAATATAAGTATGGACAACATGTATCACGTCCAAACAATTAAATTTTAAAATCACAAAGAAAGAAAATGCGGAATATATTGAAAGATGAAGTGAGTGTGAGTCATGATTATTGTTTTATTAAAAAAATAATATGTCGATTGAATTGCTCATCAATCATAAATATGAACATTGATTATGGAATATTTCATGTTTTAAAGATATTAAAATCTAATTCTATATTTGAATATTGACTTACATAATTTAATTAATAAAAAGGAATATCATTTTTAATTCTATTTATATTGCAATGTTGTGAAAAAATAAATAAAGTTTTATACAAAAATAAGAAATAATTAATAGTGTGACGTCCGAGTCAGACCCATACACAGCACAGTACAGTACACTACACAACACACAGAAAATGTTAATGAATGGCCCACCTCACCATCCCTTACCCCAGTTCAGCTTCACAGTTATCATCTTCCAATTCCATACATGCTCCTTAATTATACATTTACTTTTTCTATTTCTTTTATGCAACCAAACCATCATTTTTCCTGTTTTTTTGTTTTTCGCATGCTACAAATAGGCTTCTATGGAGTCTTTGAAACATAAGGCCGCCTCCCGTCTCGTAATTTCTACATACGATCTATATCACGTCTAGCCTTTTCATGTTATAAAATTTGGCTGTCTTTCAAAAAAATAATACCATTGATCATTTTTAATGTGTGTTTTTGTGAATGAGGCGCATTTTTTGTCTTTTGAGTTTTTAGCATCTTAGCACTAGAGTCTCAAATTTGTACCAAACCAAACCAAACCAGCCAACATGAATGTCACTAGTACCAATTACATAAATTTAATTTATATTGTTATACAAGTATGGAAAGTTGGTTAGTATGGAACACGTGAACTACCATACCCTGTTCCTGTTGTATCAAATTTTATATATCTAAATGGTTATTAATTAATTAATATTTAACATTCATGATTCTAATTTGACTTTGCTTGCTCTTTCCCATCGTCCGTCGCCATTGCTCTCATATCATATCATAGTCAACTCACCACATTAACATAGCTTTTGAAAATTTGCAACATTAATCCTTCCCATCTTGTTTGCCTTTCACCCTATCCTTACTTGTTTTTACATGAATACAATACCAGTTTGCAATGCAATGTTCATACAACACATGAAGAATTTTAGCATCAAGTAGAGTCGGTTCGTACACAACATACAACAAAAAAAATAAAAAATAAATAAATAATGATATGATACCACGTTCATACCTATTAGACATTTCAGTGTCGATTTTGTACAAGTATGATAACATTTTTTTATTAACGTATATGAAATGGGTCGAACAAAGCAAATAAAAATACATCTATGACGTTATTTCGTGCATCGATTTTAATTTCTCCCATGCTTGGATGGTATCGCGTGAAGAAAGACAAGTCAAGTATACAAGAATTTTCTCAATCCCATATTACTACAAGATCTAAATTTATTCATGCTTGTACCTCAAACTAGGCATCAATGTTGAACGGATGTCGGTTTTCCGACCATGATTCTAAATCCAGAAACACAAAGTACATTTATATCGATAGCATAACAACTCTGCACACGTTATCGGTTAGTTGCTCATAGTCTTCTGTACAAAACCCTTTATGTTGAAAACCTCATTCCCGATCTTTGTAATCACACCCTGCAAAGAAACACTCGTGAGAATAGATACGCACAAATGACACAAGTCCGTATGTATGTCTTTTCCGAGAGAGAGGGAGAAAGTCACCTTTTCGGTTATGATACCATTTATCAAATAAGCTGGTGTAACATCAAAAGCTGGATTCCAAACACCAATTCCCGAAGCTCCAACTTGTTCCCCGAGACCTCCACGGGTGTTTAGTAACTCCTTGGCTGATCTTTCTTCTATAACAATCTCCTCTCCAGAAGACAAAGATAAATCAATCGAAGTCAAGGGTGCAGCAACATAAAACAGAACACCGTGATGCTTAGCGCATAAGGCAAGGCTATAGGTTCCGATCTTGTTGGCAGTGTCACCTGCAATTAAGGGTCTGTTTGTCAGCAGCTTAATGAGACTCGCAACTTATTCCGTCAACTACATGAATGTTTGGTAGTGGCTTAATGATATAGAAAGTGGCTAACTTTATGCAGAAAGTAAAGTTTTTTTCCAAATTTGTCCCTCTCAATTAAACAACACTAACCCTCCCAAACAATAACCTTCTCAATCTATATAGACAAATAAATCTACACAGACAAAATTTATATCCATACAGGACTTGATTGAAAACCAACCAAACAGCCCCCAAAGTTTTACACTTCTGTATCAATTATGGGTTTCATTAAGTTAATCGTATTGTAGCGAGAACTTACCGTTAGCAGCAACACGATCAGCTCCAACGATGACAGCCTGCACACGTCCAGCTTTCATTAAAGCAGCAGCTGCAGAATCTGCTATAAGAGTGGCTGGTATTTTGTCATGCACCAATTCAAAAGCCGTCAATCTTGATCCCTACACTTGCACAAAATAAAAATAACGATTCGGTATTCACCCAAACAACGTAAACCACAAAAAGAAGTATGAAAATGTCAAAATCATTAAGTTCACAAGACATAACAATGAGACGCTTGGGGCCTGTTTGCTTAATTAGCTTAATGGGGCTCACAGCTTATTCGTTCACCTATAAGTTACTGTTTGGTAGTGGCTTAATGATATAGAAAGTGACTTATTCAGTAAGCTTCTAAAAGAAGCCTTATGTAGAAAGCGAAGTTTTTTTTTCTTCCAAATCTGCTGCTCCAAATTAAAAAACACGCTCTTTCAATCTATTAAGAAACTCCCAATCTATACACAGATTAATTGACACAGACAGCTTATCCATACAAGACTTAATGGAAAACCAACCAAACAACCCCTTAGGGTAAGGGGCTGTTTACCAAACACTTACCGGGCAAGTGCTTACAGGCAAAAGCCACCACCTTCACTTACCTAATCGGGTAACATTGTGTGCCATTTGCCCATGATCATCATCATTTCAAATAAATGATGGGTATATATTTGAGTCTGCAAGATTCCTTTATTCTCTCTTTATCGAAGAGTAATTTAGATATTTGACAAATAGTTGAATCCTCTCCTCGAACTATTTGTAAAATCAAAACAGGGATTTCATGGGATGGTGGGAGTGTACACAATCATTTAGTTAAGAATATCAAAGTAATGTATCATAAAAAGTACCTTAAATTGCTTACTTGGTTGAATGGGCGGGTTTCTGTGCAATATGCACTTTCTAGTACTCCATCAGCATAAAGTGAACGGATTACTCCAAGAGCAGTTCCATATCCAGCTGTTGCAAGACTAGTGAACAGTAAAGCATAAACTGTAAGCACAAGTAGCTCAAATACCCAAAGATATTATGAGAAATGGAGAGGACTAACCTGCCAGTATTGCAATGTGTTAAAACAGAGAATTTCTTAAAATCCTTTTGTTGATTCTGAATGAAAGAAGATCCAAATGACCCGATTGCTTTATTGGAAGCAACATCATCCTCCAGCATTACTTCTGCAGCTCCAATGTAAGCCTGATAAAGCAGAAAACAGAAAATAAATAATTACTCATAATTATAGTACACTTTGTAGCACATAGGAAGTCCTTTAATGGTCTAAGCCTGTTTGTTAGCAGCTTAATGAGCTTAATGGGACTCACAACTTATTAAGTCAGCTATGCATAACTGTTTGGTAGTGGCCGAATGATATAGGAGATGACTTATTCAGTAAGCTTCTAGAGGGGAGCTTTATGTAAAAAGCCAAGTTTTTTCCAAACCTGTCCCTCCCAATTAAAAAAACATGCTCCTTCCATCTATGAAAAGACTCTCTCAAACAAAAACTTCTCAATCTATACAAACAGATTAATCCACACAGACAGCTTCATCCACAAAGGACTTAATGAAAAACCAACCAAACAGCCCCTAATACTTAAAACTCAAAATAGATTCAGAAACCCAACAAAATTCAATGTTTACTGATCAAAAGCAAAGAGAGAGAGGGATTACTTGGAACACTTGATTGGCATCTGTAGCAGTTGCAGCAGAGTTCATTACGATCTCTGTAAGTTTAGTTGCGGCATCTGAAAGATTCACTGCTGTTGGACGACTGAGGAACAGTACAACAGATCACGAAAAGCTTAGAGGAAACGGGAAATGCTACGGTACTAAACAACATATGGTCCTAACTTGGAGGCAGACACCAAACTTGTACACTCAGATATAGAGCAAATAACCCTTTCAGAAGTTACCTTGAGACAAGATATTCCAATTTCTTTTTAAGAAAAGATGCTGCTTCATCTGGAGTTCCACTAAATCCCTCCAGTTTAGATACTTCTACAGCCAGCGAAAGTGCCGCAGCTATGGCGATTGCGGGTGCCCCACGAACCACCATTTCTCTTATTGCTTCCCTGGATATACACAAACGATTAATCAAACATAAAGAGAGGACCATATGAAACAAACATCATTACAACATGGTTAAAATTTCATTCGCTCAAGCCATATGATCTCCATGTAGGCATCATTAGAAGATTCCATTGTAAATTAATGAAGAAATGACCAATATGGGCAACTTTACTAGTACATACACCAAGTGACAAAACCTAAAGAAACAACAACAAAACATAAAGCTTTAGCATTTAATCATCGAAAGGATACATTTATAACTTACCAGCCCTCAGCAGCATCTCGAATTTCCAAATAGATGGTATCAAGAGGAAGCTTTCTCTGCTCAAAATAAATCAAGTCAAGTGCAAAGATAGTTGTGTCCACTAATTTAACCACTCAATTATACATATTTCACCACAATCAATAGAAAAACATAATGATTATATTGCTCTTTGTTTCTAGCAAGTTTATAGTTGCTCTGAAAGGGAGAGAAAAAAAAGGGTGAACATTGAATTGTGAGTTCAAACCCAGTATTCAAAAAACACAAGAGCTGTAAACTATAAACAGAATCATGGCATCATTAAATTTCTTTTTGTTTACAGCACTTTGTATTGAGAGTTATATGATCATCAGTTCATCCTTATGATAGAAATAAGAACAATTACTAGTTGACATTCATTTCTAAGAGCGAAGGGGTCCATTTAAATTAGCTTTTAATTTGATTTGTAAAGAAAAGTTTGATGGGATGAATTGATGATCTGAAGGGTCCTAACCCAAAAAGAAATCATGCGTATCTACTCCATTTGTTTGTTATATAATATGATAACCAAATGGTTGAAAGGCCTAAAAATAGGGGGTTTGGAAAGAAAAGGGTACCTGGTCAAGTAGTTGAAGTGAGCCACGGAGATAACGGATGGATTGCAGAGATGAGTTGTCTTGAGATCCCATTGAAGCAAACTGCAATTTCAGCAACAAAAAGATGAAAGAGTTTGAATTGAAATCGCAAGCGATGAAAAGAAAGAAGTTGGTTTCTGATTACGATTAGACACAGAAGATGATGGAAGGGAGGCGGCGCACCAATAGAGAAAGTTTTTCACCTAAAAGAGTTTTTAGTTAAATTTAAGGGCCATTCACAACGTGTCTATCAAGTCACATTCTTTTTATTAGATGAATACGGTAAGAATTAAGAATTTTATTTGATAATAACGAAGACAGAGATCAAGAGTTTTATCCGGTAAGTAATGACKACGATTTTTACCACGGTTAGTACTTACCGGGTAGATTGTTACATATGATGTTGTTTTGGTAGACTAAAATCTTATCATGTAAGTAAGTGATAGAGTTGAATTTTACCGTTAAACGCTTACCGGGTAAGTGTGTAGGTAAACGGCCCCTTAGTGACCGGTTATATGTTATGCATAACAAAAAAAATAGATTTATAATCGCAGATTTATTCCACCGAATGCTACTTCATCTCGTTTAATAAACGTGTGGAATATTTTTATTTTGTATTGTTCCCATGTACCAACGGCACTTTCAAAGAACATTGATAATATATTTTTAAATTTTAAAAAGATTCTAAAAACCACATATTTTTTTATATATATCATGTATTGAAAACTTATTTTTGCTTTTAAACTTGTTTTAATAGTTAATTACTATATTTCAACCTATTATATTAATTTCCATCTTATATTATAAAACCATATTACTTATTAAAAGAAACCAAACTTGTATGAAAATAACAACTTGAGTCTTAAAATCAAAATTACGAGCCAATCCGAAATAGAAATAATACATGGTTGATTTTGAATTTATTAATGCTTTATCAACGGTACGGATTTCTTTATTCCTGTGGTTAGTCAACAACCAAATTCAATTAGTCAATAGGCTTTTTTTTCCCTCTAGAGTACTAAACTTATGATATACAAGAAATGAGACCAGTGATTGTGGAAGGTCAAATGGTGACTTGTAGATCTTGTTGTTAGATCATAATGGGGTTGTGATTAGGACCCATGTAATCGATTTTAAGGCTCCATATATATATATATATATATGTATATATATATACACGTGGAAATATCTTCAAATATAAAAGGTACAACACATTAAAAAAGAGAGAAGAAAATAAATATATTTGTATAATTCATAAGTAGGTTTAAATGGTAGCATGCTCACTTGATGAAATGTGGACCGTGGAGGGATGTGGGATAAATGGTTAAATGGTAGCATGACCACTTGATGAAATGTGGACTATGGAGAGAGATAGGATAAATGGTTGATACTACGAGAAGAATTCCTATTCATCTAAGTTGAAGTGTGTGGCTAAATATCTCTATGCATCATATAATCAAGAAAAATATACAAGTATTTATAGATTTAATTCAAAAGGGCATCTCAAACTTACTATGAAAAGACGTATAATGGAAGTCATGTCTATTCAAACTCTTTACTAAAAACACATAACTTTTTGTGTAAATTAAAACAGACCATCGATTTATTGTTAACGGTGGTTTTTAAAGTTATGTGTTTTAGTAAATATGGGCCCATGTTTTAATCTTCTTTTAAAAAAAAGGTAGGTTAGAGATATGAATGATGATTTTGTTCATTAATAGCAATAGATTCAAAACCATCAATTTGTGTACCATAAAAATAAAATCCATGATTTGTATTTATGACATAACAATAAGCATAGCTATCATATGAAAAGAGATGGGAGCCTTTTCAAGAATTAAAATTTATTTTAAAAACAAAATAAACCTTTATTTTAATTTTAATTATAATTCAACTAAAACACATTAAATTAAGAAAATATAAAAAGAGATGCCATAACCACCATCGTAATAATCAGTAATCGATAAATATATGAAAACAAGAAGAAAAGGTGACAAATTTAATTTTGGAATGGATCGTGGGAGGGAGGGAGGGTGTCTGTTCATACTGCATCTCCATCATCGTTTTTATATCTCCACCCCGTTTTAATTTCTTCATCAACTCATCTTAACTGCAACCAAAACCTCTTTAACCCATTTGGATTTTGGAACTCCTTTCATTTCGGGTATGAATTCTTGAATGCTTTTTAACTATCTGCCTGCACTTCATACGTATGCATCGTTCGCCCTCTTTATTAGGTTTTTGTTAATTGGTTTTCAAGATCCAATGTTTATGGGTGAGAATCCGTTCATGTCTGTTGGATTCTGGTAAATGCTTGTTTTCCTTTAGCTTTAGATCCATTCCAGAAGTTGGTTTCCCCCAATTTATACTAATTATCTCTCCTCGCTTACTTAATTTTCACTAAACAACTTTTATTTCATCATCAAATCGTCTAGTCCCACAATTTTTCATGACATGGTAGGAGGACAAAAGTTTGAATGATCAAGAGTGGAGATCTGGTTGGTGTATTACCATACATATTATGTTTCTTATGGGGTTTTCTTGAAGATGAAAGGTTTTCAAAAAGTTTAATAATTTTTTCTTTTTTTGTGTTATATGCTTTGCAGATATTGGTCTGAAACGCAATGTTGTTGGATTAAGAACCACAACTTATTGAGTTCAGTAGCATAGCATTGTGCTTAACGATGAAAGGAGGAGGAGGAGGCTACTTCTATGGGCTGAAGATGAAGCAGCTCTCTCTCTTCTTTATAGTTTTTATCTGTGCATCCATTGTAGTTTGGAACTGGGAGAAAACCCCTCCTCTAACAACTTTGCTACCACCTGATGATCAAGTATTGCAACCCTTTACAGGTTTGTGTTTATATGTAAATCTCTTCTCTGAGGATGTTATGTTTGTTCTAATTCATAATAGTAAAGGGTAATGGTAATCTTGTCCCGGAATTGTTCTGAGAAATAAGTTATAAAGTACACTTGTCTTGTGATGGTTGCTCAAACTCTTTGATGGGTTGTTCGGTTGGTTTTCCATTGAGTCTTGAATGGATAAGGTTTTTGTTTGGGTGGGTTTTCTCATAGATGGAAGAAGCGTATTTTTTTTTGGGAGGGACATATTTGGAATTTGTTTTGGCTTTCTGCATAAAGCAAAGCTCCCTCTAGAAGCTTACCGAATAAGCCACTTTCTATATCATTAAGCCACTACCAAACAGTCATATATAGTTGACCGAATAAGTTGTGAGTCCTATTAAGTTCATTAAGCCGCTAACAAACAGACCCTTAGTGTTTGAAATTTATGCTACAAAGTGGTGGATTCACTTGATGAGAACAGATGAAAGCCTCCTGAAAGAGTGTAGTTAGTGACTCGTTAAATTTGGTGCACTTTGATGGATAGTAACAAAATATTTGGTTACATAAAAAGGGGGTTGAGTACTGGGTTGAGCTTTGTCGTTTGATATTCTGCAAACCTTGTTAATGACATGAAATTTTGTTACTTTGTGTAGTCTGAAGTATTTGGGGGATTAAAGTTGAGGAGGTAGAGTGAGTTTATTGAAGCTATGGTCCAGTGTAGATTGAGGTTATTGTAGTTATTGACCAACCTTGATCCTGGTGGCTATGTTATTTGTTGCATCATGGTGTATGACCAAAATAACTTGGATGCATCACAATAAAGTGTGTTTTGGGAAGTCACTTTTTTAATTGTTAATTGTTAAACTTCTTTATGATGACAGATGAACTGAAAAGGGAACATGTCACCCAAGAAAAAGATGATCTTAAAGAAGTTGAACCCGTGGTGGATTTAGCCCTGCCATCACTTTCAACAAACACAGCCTCTTTGAATGCTCGACAGGATGAACATCCAAGAACTTCTCATGACAAGCACCATGGTAGAGTTTTGCTCATATGTCAAAACCAGTCATTCTTTTCTTAGCTCCATTGATAATTTTCTATGAAACAGTATCATACAATTAAAAAACCGATACATTTTCGCATATAATTCATCATGCACATTTTTGTTTTGACACCTGTTCCTGTTGCATTGGTGCAGAGAACACCAAAATTGTAGTTGAAAAATTCATTCCTGAAGGATACAATGGTTCGAAATCCTATCAACCGCAGTTAGTAGCTTCAGTGAACTCCGAAACAACAGAGTCGGCTATGAGAGAAGGCATTGACTCTCCAAAGACTAACTTAGAAAAGCAAGGTTCGTCTTACATTCAGTTACTTAGAGGTAGATTACATAAGTGGTTTATAATTGATAGTCAGCCTTCACGTACTGGGAAGGCCTGTGGCCTAAAGTATGTTAAATTTATCCATCTACGTCAGTCGTATTCTTTTTTTTATCTGTCTATGTTTGTAGGGAAAGAGGTTTTATCAGATACGTACATATTTGCACTCAATCTAGCATATCATTTGTACCCCTTTAAAAGAATTTGGATTTCATTTGGTTGGCTTATTGATGTTTGATGGGTGGTAATTGCAACGAGAAGGTTGTCACTGAGGTGTAAATTAGGCAGAGTTGTACCCATGGTGGCCATTAGTGGCTGTTGAGATATCTTAACTATAATAAGGGGGTAGTTTTAGAATATTTTGTGCATAAACGGAAATACTACTCAGGCTACATGGCAGTCTTCTTAACAGTATGAGTTTTTAGTACATCCATCGATACTCATTACTTGTTTGCAATTGGTTTTTATGCATATTGCAGCTTGCAACTTGGGTAAAGGGAAGTGGGTTGCTGCCGATAACCGGCCTCTGTATTCAGGATTTGGTTGTAAACAATGGTTGTCTGGAATGTGGGCTTGCCGTTTGACACAGCGAACAGATTTTGGGTATGAGAAGTTGAAGTGGCAGCCAAAAGATTGCAAAATGGATGATTTCACAAAAGCTAAATTCCTTAAGAAGTATGTCATGAGATCATTTAGGGAAATTAACAAAAGTAGCCATTTTGGCCAAGAAAATTTACCTCTCAGCCATATTTATCCCACTTTTTCAACAAAATCACCACCTCCGCAAACAACACTTCCTCGACTTGTGAAGGGGCCAAAAAAATAAAATAAAAGAACAATTTTCTGAACAGGTCCGCAAGGTATTTAGACTAATTTACAGATTTGGTCCTTGTTGCGTATGTGTTCCTTGCGGACCATGTTCAGAAATTCCTTTTTTATTTTTATGTTTTGACCCCTTTGCAAGTTGAGGAATGGTTACTTGTGGAGGTGGTGATTTTGTTGAAAAAGTGGGAGAGAAATGGCTAAGAGGTGATTTTGTTGTGGAGAGAAATGCATCACACAGCCAAAATGGCGATTTGTGCCATTTTCCGGACCATTTATATAACTCGTCAACTTATACTTGTTTTACAACTAATTGTGATGAGATGCATTCCAGAATGCAGGACAAGACGCTAGCTTTTGTTGGGGATTCCTTGGGCCGACAGCAGTTCCAGTCTCTAATGTGCATGGCGACTGGTGGTGAAGAGATGGCCGATGTTGAAGATGTTGGGAAGGAATACGGTCTAGTGATACCTCATGGATCAGCTCGGCCGGACGGGTGGGCTTATCGTTTCCCGAGTACCAACACGACCATCCTATATTATTGGTCCGCGACTCTGTGTGACTTGCAGCCGGTTGACCCCACAAGCCAAACGACAGATTACGCGATGCACCTGGACCAACCACCGGCTTTTTTGAAACATTTCCTCGACAGAATCCACGTGCTTGTTCTCAACACCGGGCATCACTGGAACAGAGGGAAGCTTAACGCGAACCGATGGGTTATGTATGTGGGAGGCAAACCTAACACGAATAGAAGGATCGCAGACATCGGAGGTGCTAAAAACTTCACGATTTACAGTGTTGTGAGGTGGGTGAATTCTGAGTTACGGAAACACCCAGGGTTGAAGGCGTTCTTGAGGTCGATTTCACCGAGGCATTTCTTTAACGGAGAATGGAATACGGGAGGTACGTGTGACAGCACGAGACCGGGGGCGTTGGAAGTGTTGCAAGACGAGTCTAGCGATCCGGTAGCTGCGGGGGCGGTGAAGGGAACGAAGGTGAAGCTTTTGGATGTGACGGGTCTGTCTCTGGTGAGGGAAGAAGGTCATATTTCGAGATACTCGATGCGAGGAAGTCCAGGAATGCAAGATTGTTTGCATTGGTGCTTACCAGGGGTTCCAGATACATGGAACGAGCTTCTTTTTGCAGAAATATAGAAATAGCAGTTGGGTGGATAGTTGTGTTAAAACCAAACGAAACCAAACCATAGGGAGGGAGGGAGTGTTTGTTGTTGTTGTTTTTGTTTTTTATAATGTTGTTATCATCTATAAATATAAATTCTTGAATCTAATACTAGTCATATATTTTTTTTGCGAGTAGTGATGTGGGTGTGGACGTGGTGGGTTCATTTGACGTTCCATCGAATCAACAAACTTTGGGTCCTTTTTTATGTTCATGGGAACTCATGGGTAAGGAGTTGGTTTTGATGCAATGGGTGGTGGTTCATGAAAACTACAACAATATCAGGATTCATGTATTAGACTTTAGATGTGGTTGGCCATTACCATTAGCAACAGTTAATATTGATTAATATTTTGTTAAAAAAACTATTAGATGTTAAAAGAAATTAAAATTACATAAAATGTTTCTTGATCCATCTGGTAATCCAAAATATTTAAAGAAATATAATATAATGTATTGAAAATTGAGGTGGCATGACATGAAGATGAAACATCCTTAAAGATTGGGTTAACTTTAATTTGAGACAAGATCCTTGTTATTTGGTGTCCCTTAATCCCCCTTCCCAATCCCCTTTCCCATCCCTTCAAAATATAATGCTACATTCATCAAATTAATTAATTGATTTTTATTACATTTATCTATTTGTTCACGGATTAATGTTATTTATTAGTTATAATTTTTTTTTTAAATTCTTTTCTTTTGCTTTATTAAAAAAAGTTAGTTTTTTTTCTTTCTAAAACTTACAATGTTTTTTTAATATTTATATTTATTTATTAATCATCAGTTGTTTTGTAGAGCTAAAATCAATAATTTTTTTAAGGGTTCTATTGAGAGACAACATTTGAATCGTTAAGAAGTGAATCTTGTTTGATAAAAAAAAGTCTGTCTTTTAATGATTGTAAAACTCTTTGAATGATTTTGTATAATAGGTCTCCCTTAACCATTTAATACCCTAATTTTATTGTAATAAATAAATAAATTACCAAATAATTATATTTAATTTTGCATTATATTATGAGTGTCTTTTAATTATTCTGTACCAAAATCATTCAATAACTACCTAAAAGTCTTATAAATTATCTTACTTTCTTTTAATGTCTCCATTTATAAGGTAATGAAAACTGAAAAAGGTAGCGCAATGAATTATATATATTTTTTTGTCTTTTGTTTCTAGATTATTAATTATGATGTTATAGTATTTGTTAGTGATAGATCTTGCTTCTGTTTTAACTTATACTTATTTAAATCTATAAAATACAAGTTAAAAATGTATAAATATAATATAATAATACATCGGAGTTGCACAATTGCATCATCATTCTTTATGTGTTTGTTTGATGCTAATTGTGACATATGCATGGCATGGATTCCACGTTACTCCACTTTCAATCAAATAACCATACAAATGCCTCTTTTCACACCATAATAATAACACCCTTTACCATCCTCTTATTTCTTTTATCACAATAAATTGTTGCTACTTCTTTTATTTGCTAAACGTTAATCGGGTATAAGTCTTTTTTCTTACTTAGTGCATAAGCTTATCCAGTCTTTTATTTCAAAATCTTGGTATTAAATAAAATAGTAAATTACACTTTTGGTTCTTATGGTTTTCACCTATGATCAATTCTCATCCCTCTTTTGAGCTTATTATAGTCTTGGTCATCATGGTTAAATTTTGTTTCCTTTTTGGTCCCTCACACCAACTCTTGTTATTATAATAGTGAAACAAAATGATAAATACAATGACTAAAAATGTAATTACTTCAAAATATCAACAAATTTAATAGTGGATGGCAACCACAAGGACACAAAATATAATTTACTCTAGACTAGATAAAAATATAAAAACAAGTTGTTTGGATGAAATTATTTATATAATTATTAAGGACAAAAATTGTGTAATTGATTCCTAAGGGGCCAAAACTAAACACTAAGAAATAGTGTAGGGGGCAACTGTTGCAATTCATTCAAGCAATAAGAATTGGAATCGGGTCTCCTTTCCCCCACATTAAATTTGGAATCCGGCCGTGGACGGAAAAGGTGACAGCTACTTCGTCGTTTACTGACCGTTGGATATCGCTACCATCCTCCGATATTATTTCCATAGCGTCGGCGAATCCATCAGAGAGAAAAACCAGTAACCTCCACTCCAAAACCCTATTCTTCCTAAATTCCTCTCGCAGTTGACCTAAAGTAAGATTTACATTCAAAATGTCCGGCGATGACTTCACGAAAGGCGTTGAAGACGGCTTGAGGCTGTCCAAACGTATTTACTTCGGCAAAGACCGATCGGTGGCGCCGCCGAAGCCTATTACTGCGATGGAGAAAGCTACAAGATCGTATTACCCTGTGTCGCCTATGGTTTACGCCGTCATATCCAATCCAGGGATCGTTGATAATCCTGACGTTCCCAGTTATCAGCCTCATGTCCACGGGAGGTGCGATCCGCCGGCGTTGATTCCGCTTCAGATGAACGGGATCGGCATTGAGGTCGATTGTTATCTAGACACGGCCTTCGTCACGATGACTGGTTCTTGGAGAGTTCATTGTGTTATGGGAAGTGCCAGCTGTGATTGTCGGCTCGCTATTCCGATGGGTTTAGAGGTACTTTATGAAATTTCAAATTTATTTTCATTCATCAACTCTTGATGAAGGCGGAACTTTTTATTCTTTACGATGCTGTTTGCATTCATAGCATCACTATTCTTGAATTTGACAAGTAGTTGTTGGAATGCGAAAATCGGAATTTTCGGACAAACACATCATGTGAATTCTCCAATAAAAAGAAGCTACATTTTTTTTTCACTTTAAATTTGATGTGATAATTTTCTATATTTGTAGCTTTATGAAGTCGAAATAAAAAAATCCCTACTTTCAGTTGAAATTGTTATGGTATTTGCAATATCAATTTCTTCTGCAAATCTTTTGGAATAAAACGAAGGAATCTTAAAAAATAACGAGTTGCTAAAATTGAAGAAATGAATTGGAATTACTATTTTGGTCGACTTTATTTATTGTTCTCAAGTAATATTGCATCATTTGGCTAACAGGGTTCAATTCTAGGTGTAGAGGTTGAAGTCACCACAAAATCATACACGACACAGCTAGTTGTGATGGATGAAAAGGGGGAAACAGAAAGCGTAGCCAAAGCTGAAGGTGGAGGTTTCCTGAAACCTCACATCTTTACCTTGACAATACCACAGGTTAAAAGCTGCAAAATGGCATCTCATGATTTTCCTATTTATTATAAAAGTTGAGCATAGTTTTGACTTGAATGAACTTTGTCCAGGTTGATGGTGGTTCAAATATTTCAGTTAAAGGAAGATGGTCACAGAAAATTATTTATAAAGGTGGTGAGTTCACATTGGATGTTCCTTTCAGTTTCCCAGAGTATGTCACTCCTGCCGGAAAGAAACTCTCGAAGAAGGAAAAGATACAACTGAACATTAACGTTGGATTGGGTACAGAAGTTGTGTGTAGGACAACTAATCATCCTCTGAAGGTGTAACTTGCATCAGCCTTTAATCTTCATCATTGATCTCATATCTATTGAAATCTCGTAATAACTAAGGGAAAAACTGCACTTCGTTTTAGGAGCGAAAGCGAGAAGCAGGGAAATTGGCTTTCTTGTATGAAGCAGAAGTTCTTACATGGTCAAATACTGATTTTGTGTTCACGTACTCCGTAAGATTCTACCTTGTTCATTGAACATTTTACTATTATTTACATCCTATCAAGTGATTGTGAAACATACTGTTTTATTGGATATGGATTGCATCCCACAGAGCATTTCACTAAAAGAACATTCACCATGTTTCTGTTTCAGGTTCCTACAAGCAGTGCATTTGGTGGTGTCCTTTTGCAGTCTCCATCATCACTCAGTATTGACCAAAAAGAGTTGTTTTCTTTATATCTATTTCCAGGGGCTGATCACAGCAGAAAGGTTGGATTTAAATCTGTATTTTTCTCTTGTATGTAACTGAATCTGGTGAAAGGATGCTTGAATAGAAACAGTAGTTTTGCTACAAATAATTACCCTAATGACCATATAGTCTCTGCATAGCTACAGATTCTTCCAACTGTCAAGCCAAAGTAGCTCCCTCCTTGCCCAGTTCTTTTGACTCTAATTACATAATAAGCCGCGCGAGACACTTACCATCTAAGCAGAAACGAGGTTGGCTTAGGTCTGTCAAAGTTTGATTGTCAGCTTTAAAGCTCAAGCTAGTCATGAAACTAAAAGCACGAGGGTTTGTTTCTTGTTTGCTTTTTTTGTATCTCTTTTTGATCCTTAATGATGACAAGCAGGATCTAGCTTTTGAAAACATTCAAACTAATATCATGTTCACTCATCATTTTGAGATACTCTGCTGTCTTTACTTTGGTGAGCTTTTGATGAAAACCCAATGGAATAATGAAATAATCCCTCTTTTGACACTTGGTCTCCACCTCTCCATGTTAGGGTGTTTTAATTTGATGTCCACTTCCTAGTTCGAATCTCCATTTTTCCTTTTAACTTCTCTAAAATTGAAACAGTAAGTTGCTGTCTATATTGATTTTATTCCTTTTCTTATTCATCTGGTCTATACTGAGAAATAGATCTGAGGGAAAATAATTGAATTCAATCTGAATTGCTGGTCATATGATTATGTTAAAAATCTGTACAAGAAAGGTGGACATGATGGAGCATCTAATCCTGTTCAGGGTATCTATTAACATTCCAAAACTTCAATTACCCAGATGGGTTTGGACTTGACATAAATAGAGACAGCTATTCTGAGATGGCTTTTCTCAAACCACCTTCTTAGTCAACATTTTTACCAGAAAGGTTGTATACTTAGGAACCAACAATGATAGCATAGAAGAGGAAAAAGGACAATAATCTGAACGATCTATAAGTAAATGTGCTACTTCTACTCAAACCACCTTGTGTGGTTCACCAAAAGCTTTCTCCATTTTCAGTCGTGAATAAATCAGAATTGCATCTCTTCTTCATCGATGGCAATTTTTGTGGAAATGGCTTCAAGATTTCATGTTGCTAGTCTAATCCTATATCTTACGCACTTTGAGTATTGCTTTCAAAATTGTTCATTTTGTCTGGAATTATAATTATTGCTATTCATATAATAGGTGATCCGGAAGGAAGTGCTTTTTGTGGTGGATATAAGTGGAAGCATGAAGGGAAGGACAATCGAGGCTACAAAAAATGCGGTTGTCGCAGTACTGTCAAAGCTGGATCAAGGGGATTCGTTCAGTATAATGGCATTTAATGATCAGACTTACTTGTTTTCATCAACCATGGAGTTGGCAACCAAGGAAGCGCTTGAAAAGGCAACCGAGTGGATTGGCATGAATTTCATAGCAGGTGGTGGTACAAACATGTCGATCGCTCTTGATAAGGTTATTTTCTTTCATTTGTGAGTAAGATGTTTCATGTACCAACAACAAAATGTTTAGTTTTTCTTCTATTTTAAATTCCATGTAAAGTGATGTTACATTGGAATTGGTCAGTCATCTTCTGATTTGTGGAGCACCTCTGGTAACAAAATATTTGACAACTTTTTTGTCCTTTCAAATGATTTTTGAGACTATAATTGCAAGCTATGAAATGGAACTCCATATGTTCGATGGTTATTGCAACTGCATTTGCATTGCCGATAAACAGCGTTTCTCAATGGCAGTATGTCACCCATTTGTGTTTCAAATAATACTGATATGCGTAGTAATGGATTCTGTGTCAGCGTTCTTCATTGTGATTCTGTGTCAGCGTTCTTCATTGTGATTCTGTGCTGCTGTATCAGGCCATAGAGATGTTATCTGGAACCAAGCAATCAGTACCAATAATCTTCTTTATCACCGATGGAGCTGTTGAAAATGAGAGACAAATTTGTGAAGCCATGATAAAGCAACTAAGGAATCAGGGATCAGATCTGTGCCCACGCATATATACATTTGGCATAGGTAATGATTTTGTTATCAAGTTGCTAATGCTTCAGTGCTTCTACAACATCATGATTTCTGTTGCTAGTTATAAATTCCTTCTCTGCTTACTAAGGGTGGGATGGATATATTATCCATGACTTGGTCACATTGTTATGCAGAGAAACATGACTTAGGGTCGTTTGTTTGTGGCTTAATGATTAAGGCATGAGTCAATTTGGCTTAATTGGGACAACCCTCATCCTCTTGCTTAATGCATTAAGCCATATTCTTTCCAACTCTACCCTCCCCTTTTTTATGTGTGTGGATGCAGTTTGGAGTTTTTTAAAAACTAAAATTAGATTTAACATACTTTTCTATTTAATGATTAAAAAATTTACAATAATGTTTTTTTAATGTGATATATTTCTCATATATTATAATTATAAACCAAACCAAACCAAACCAAAACAAACTATGTATATATATATATATATATATATATATATAATTTTCTCATAATAATAATGATTAATTACATTTATTTTGATTTACCAAAATTCTACATCTTATTTATGTTTTAAACTTACTTTTAACTAATAATTAACTAATTTTCTTGAACTATGATATATTGTAATTCTCATGATATTAATAATTAATTAGATTTACTTTGATTTATCAAATTCTACATCTTTTCTATGTTTTGTAATGTACTTTTTAACTAATAATTTACTAATTTTAGTCTTCTATACTTCCCGCCGATTTTTGCCATATCACTAGTGGTTACTCCCGGATTTTTCTTCAATAGGCTCTAGGGGAGGTGAGAAGAGAGCCAATAGCTATTAGGGAAAGTCAGGTCAAGAGAGAGTCTCTTTCCGATTAGTGCATTTCGCACTTAAAGTATGTAATGATATTGAATTTCATATTATTTTATAATGTCTGTAAAAGATGTGTATGGTTCAATTTTGTAGTCAGCCATAATATTGTGATGATGTTTTTTGTTGCATTTAAATAAATATGGGATGGTTTTATGTTTAATGAAAATTTAAGTTGCTGATCATGTGGTGCTAATATCATTGAATTATATCATCATATTAGATCTACAATCAATATAACTTCGAATTTTGTTATAAATAATCCATATATTATGGTATCAAGTGGTTTTAATGATAATATAAGTTATTAATGAATTTATCTCGTTATGTTATATCAAATAGTTTTTATTTAAGTAATTCATAAACTGATTTTTTGTCATTCAGAACTTCTATTCAGAAAATTTATAAAACAGTCATTTTCCATTAGCATTTAATACAGACTGAAGGTAAAATGGTAAATTATGTCATTCAGATAATTTATTCAACACATATATAAAGCAAACAACAATTTGTCTCAAGTCATACAGACGTCTGAATAGAAAAAAAACAAATAGCTCCTTGTAGTACATGTTATCTGCTTCCCAAGGGGGACTATTTATTCTGCAAAAAAAAGGTATGACACCACCCTCTTGAGCATTCCGACCGTACTGGTCCACAGCCATCATGCGGGAGGTAAAAATGGTAAATCATGTGCCCCAGGAACAGGTGGGCGGTGCCTGGAGCTAAACCCCAGACCTGCCACTCATTCTGCAGGGATACCCACCGCCTTACCCTCTAGGCTAAAGCCGTGGGAACAAGGGTGACTTAATACTTATTTGACAAAAATAGGAAGAAAAAATAAGCTCTTCGGTAGTGAATTTGGAGGTTCAACTGCATTATGTTTTCTGTTCCCTTTTTTTCCCTTCTGATGAAGTATTGTTGTAATCAGCTTCCTTTTTGTATTTCTTTGTAGGTTCATTCTACAATCCGTACTTCTTGCGAATGCTTGCAATGATTGGCAGGGGCCATTATGATGCTGCATCTGATCCAGGTAAGACGTATTTCTTTGACACAAGGGAAAGAGTTTTGCACAAAGGTATTTGCTACTTAACATCATGCTTGTTCAGAGATGTACAAGTATCTTTTGCATTTATACTTCCCTTTGAGAGGGAATGACCTTTGTAGCATGCACTGATGTTGCACTTGTTATTTTCTTCTTGCATTACAAAAGCTGTCTGTACTCTGTATAAGCTAATAAATGGAAGCAGAAGATATTGATTTTGGGCTTCTTTTCACTTGAAGATAATTGTGACTCCTGGTGCTTGCTTTGTTTTTGTAGCTTCATTTTCCATTATGTATTAGTTTTTATCACATAAGTGATGAAACATCAATGTAGCTCATGTTTTAGACTGGCATAGTGCCTGTGATGTGGCAACTAGTGAATGCAATAAGCATTTTCACAAGTAGTTTGGAACACAAGTCTTTTCTCCTTTCTATTTTCTTGTTCTCAGGACAAGGAGTACGTTCCAGTTCCACAGAAATTGATAAGTGGCTGCATATTGTCACCCATGAAGAACGAAAATGGGGAAGAACAGATTAAAGTCTTCTTATCCCATATAGCTATATGAATACTATTACATGAATTGATAACTGGATACATATTGTCACTCATGAAAAACCAAAGTAGGAAAGGGCTGACTAGATTCTTAAATTATCTCATATAGTTTTCTGAATTCCAGTACTTGGATTACATTTTCATGCATTTTATTAAAAATTAGTTAGGAAGACCTCTTTAGATTTTGTTTGAATGGCAGATATTGCGAAGTTATTGATGATATTTTGCTAATTATGTGTTTGATCAGATTCAATTGTAGCTCAAATGGAAGCATTGTTTTCCAAAGCTGCTTCTACAGTTTTGCTAAATATTGCAATCGATAGTCTGGATGATGTTGATTCTCTTGAGGTATGTTTTCATGTATCTGACCTATTATTATTTCATGGTAATTGTCTGTCTTATCTTATATTTTTTAGCATGGATTTTTCTGGTCCAAGGGTATCTTGTCTTAACCACGAACAAAATTCCTTGGTTAACAATAATTGCAATTTTACCAGTTTTCACATTACAGCTGCTTTCTGAAAATTGCTATTCCCTCTATTCCTGCAAGGTTCATAAAAACTACAAATTTTGGTGCCTGGAGTAAAAATCGTTTATATGAGGGTGTTAAAAAAAACAGATGAACCACAAAAACCGGTGGGACCGAACCAAACCGGACCCTTTTTGGTGGTTTGGCGGTTCGGTCCAGTCTAGAAAATTGCCAAAGCAGACAGTCCGGTCCGGTCTGCATTGTATCTTTAATTTACCAATTACCAATTTGAGAGTATGTATGGACTATGGAGTATGTCAGTATGATGGATTTGTTGATTTTTACTTGCATTTTAAGCTATATATTTGGATTTATTTTTTATCCATAGTTTAAACTTTAAAGCCCATAATTAGCCCAAACCACCTAAACCTGACCAAACCGCATTTTTGTGGTCTGGTTTGACTGATCTGGACGTTTCATTTCAAACCGCCACATTTGAGGTTTTGTCTTTTAATAAAGGTTTAAACCGCCTAGACCAGACCACGGACACCACTTACTTTTACAATATATACTTTCCCCTAAACAACCACTTGACACAAACTGTATTTCTCATGTTTCTTTCCCAGGATATTATTTTATACATAATTTATTCAGGGTAGGCCAAATTAATAGCTAATACCCATAAGAAATCAATCGGAAAATGCAAGAGAAGGAAAACCAACCCAGATGGCCTGATCAGCATATGTAGGTGTCTGCACTAGGGATGATCGAACCATCCCAAGTGAATGTGCTCTAATTCTGTGCTATTTATTAAATGTCACATTAGCGTTGCATTATTTTGGTTGAGCTAACAGCGCCTGATATAGGAATCAAACCATCCCAAGTGGTGTTCTATAATTTAATTTCATATTTAAATGTCATGTTAGCATTGCATTGTGCAACCATATAACTTACGATGATGACACCAGCCCATTCTAAACTAAATGGAGCTGAATGAATGGAAATTTAAGGGGGCGTTTGGTTCGCAGAATGTTTAGAAAGGAATGGAATCTGTCAAAGGAATTGGAATCCGGATGGAATTGGAGTGGCGTACCCTTCTAGAGATCTAATTGTTACCTATCTTGATCAGGTGTATCCTTCAATTGTTCCTGACCTTCGTTCCGAAGGACCATTGGTCCTATTTGGGAAGTACACGGGTGCTTTTCCTGACACATTGAAAGCTATGGGAATCCTTGCAGATATGAGTAACTTCACCATTGACCTGAAGGTGCAACGGACAAAGGACATACCTCTTGACAAGGTAGGTCTTATGGCCAAATGGTTTGGGTTCTGTATTTTTTATTTAATTGTGTTAGTGGTAATACTATTATTCTATTTTCTTAAAGTATATGTTAGTTCTTTTTCTAACCCGTGTGATCTTTTTTAACTAGTGGTTCTACTTCCATTGAAGTCACTAACTGCTTTTAGTTAATCCAGTTGATGAAATCCTGGATGCCCAATTTTTGCTCAGAAGACCCACAAACTTAAGAGGGACTTCATAAGACCACAAAAAGAGTCTGTATATGTCATACCCTCACTCTGGAGAAAGGAACTGCAACATAGGGATACAGTATATGTTAGTTCTTTTTCTAACCCGTGTGATCTTTTTTAACTAGTGGTTCTACTTCCATTGAAGTCACTAACTGCTTTTAGTTAATCCAGTTGATGAAATCCTGGATGCCCAATTTTTGCTCAGAAGACCCACAAACTTAAGAGGGACTTCATAAGACCACAAAAAGAGTCTGTATATGTCATACCCTCACTCTGGAGAAAGGAACTGCAACATAGGGATACTGTGCCACTGAGTTGCGCCAAGGTCTTTCAGATAATAACCGAAGCATGAGATACTTGCATGTCGGTGCACAGAACAAAAAGGAAACTGAGTCAAGTTAAATCAAACTGCAAATTGGAGCTGATACCTCTTGGCAGTACTGCATAGGGACTTAGGCTGCTACAACGAGAACTTATTTCTGCTTCCTGCCTATATCACAGGACTTCTGTTCACTTGAAAAAACTTTCCCCTTGATCCTTATATTTCTGAAAAGACTACCTTTTGAACACCCTTTGGTTAACAAATCGTACTTCTGCCTTTATCCTACAACCTACCTGTATTTGATTGCTCCAATCTTGTTTATGATACAAATGTATCTGGACGATATTCTATAGGCTGCTTCCTGGGAATTTAAAATCTTGAAAGCTGATGACAACCAATTCTCTGATATTACGGATATTGTACTCTGAAGCTCTCTATAGAAATGATAAGCAAACTTATGGACCACCACTTGATCCATCTATAACACGAACTAAAGCTTTATGCCCTGCAGCTGGAGATCCAACTATTGGCAAAAACCCATTCTATGACTAACTCGGCTAGTGGGAGCCTAACACGGATGTACTGGACAGAGTATTATTAAAAACCTATTGGAACACTTTTGACATGAAAACCCTATTAGACATACTCATGATGTAAAATACCTACTATAATTAGATTTCCTCAACTTAGTTCCTCCTTTGGAATTTTGACAACTCTCCATGTTATGACACTTGCACTCTCCTTTGTTTGCACTTTGCTTGACTCTGGTAAGACGTAGACATCATTCATATTGGGCATTAGTACTGTTGCCTCTACCCTTGCCCTGACTGTACCATATGGGTCAAATTATTTTTATTCCAAGTGCACAACATATACCCTTTATCTCCACCCAGCAGAGTTTTGAATATCTGCCCTTTTTCTCCTTCCAAAAGATAAAGTGATCTTTCCATTCTTTCAGTTTCTCATAATCTTCTATTCTTCTGCATGCCACTACGGTTCTGAATTGTTTGTGCTATTTAAGCTATATATAGAATCAAGAACAGCATAACCTGCAAGGAAGAACACAGTGATATAGGATGGCCCTGCAACATTTTGTCAGTGTGAAGAGCATAATGATTACTTTACATAAATGATCAAACTATTAAGACTCACTGCAATTGTGCGATAGTTTGTCACATGAAATTACCCTTTTTCTCCACTTTGAGAATTTTTACAACTCTGCTAGGTCTGTAACAAGAGGTCAGAGTTCAGTTGCATGAATAACACCCTCCTCCATGTTTATCACAAATGGTCTTCTTATGCTCTAACATATATTATTAAATATGCCGGTTTTATATTAACTATAAGACGTTTCCATATCATAATTCTCCATAGATGATCTATCTTTAGCAAACAAGAAAGATAAGCACTAGAATTCCTTTTGGTTGTTTTATTATTGCTGTTGTTTTTCCGGTTTAGGCTGTGGGCCTGGTTTATCTTCTATGTTATTGCAGTCTTTTGGTGCTTTTGTTGCTTTTGTGTGCTTAGTAGATAATATGCATATCTCTTTGTTTTTCTTTTTGTTGGCTTGCGTTTACTTGATTTCATCCTGGTCGCTAGATCCTGGCAAAGCAACAAATTGAACAATACACGGCACAAGCGTGGTTTTCACAAGATAAAAAGCTCGAGGAGAAGGTCAGTAACTTGACATCTTTTATTTTCCCTTTATGAGAAAACGTAATGCTGATTGTTCATATAGTGATTTAATTATAGGGCCTTACTGCTTGTATTCACCATCTCCCTCCTGGTCGCATTGAAGCCGTATCACTTACCAATATGGAAGTTTGTCTGAGCTTTATTATTTTGTGTGCAGGTAGCAAAAATCAGCATGCAGACTGGTGTTGTTAGTGAGTATACACGTATGACCTTGTTGGAGACAGTACAAGAAAAGCATGCGACAACATCATCTGGTGTAAAACAGGTAAGCTATTGCCTTGACTTGTTGAATGTTCAATTTTTCTTGCCGAGATGCCTGTACGTCGTTTAAGTAATTCCAGATCTCTTGTTTAAGGGGCTGTTTGATTGGTTTTTCATCAAGTCCTGTATGGATAAAGTTGTGTGTGTGGATTAATATGTCCGTATAGATTGGGAAGGGTTTTTGTTTGAGAGGGTTTTTTCATAGATGGAAGGAGTGTGTTTTTTAATCGGGAGGGGCAGGTTTGGAAAAAAAACTTGGCATTTTGCATGAAGCTCCCTCCTAGAAGCTTACTGAATAAGCCACTTTGTATATTATTAAGCCACTACCAAACAGTCATGTATAGCTGACCTGACCGAATAAGCTGGGAGTCTCATTAAGCTGAGGCCCTTACCCATGGCTTAATATAAGAAGGTATAAAAGTATTACAAGTGTGGGGATTGTCATTTCTAATTACAAAGTGTATACATGTGCAGGGAAAGAAAGAAACTATTACTCCTCAGAAGGTGGAAGTAACGAAAAAAAGCCATATGATAAAAGTGTTGCCGCATCTGGGTGTGGGGTTTGGCAACTTGATTGCGACGATTGAGAATACCCCACCAGGTTACGAACCAAAATTACCAGACCAAGCAGAAATGTTGGTAAGAGCAGCTGGGAATTGCTGTGTAAATATGTGTAGCAAATGCTGTTGTCTATGCTGCATTCAAGCTTGTTCACAGATGAACGACCAATGCGCGATTGTTATCACACAATTATGTGGCGCCTTAGCGTGTTTGGGCTGTTTTGCCTGCTGTGAGCTGTGCTGTGGACAAGACTGATCGGAAATGGATTGATGTTATATAAAGGATTCAAACGAATGGAAGTGTATGTCTTTTGTTTTTTGTTAATTGTACAAGTGATTCAGGCTTGGTTTCTGTTTGAAATTGCGTAGGAGTGTTTCAATTCCCCGTCTTGTGTTTGTGAAGGATGTTTTGTGAAAATATATTCTTCGATCGATAGGAGTTGGTGTAAAGAAATATATATTTGGCGATGTTAATGTAAATGAACTATACTTGACTTGGTTGCTTTTACCCCATGGAATTCATGTTACTAATTTAATGTATAGACATAGTTGTTAATATGATCATCTATTTCGGTACCACTTTAGCAGAATGAAAATGAAAGAAAGCGGTAATTAGTGAGAATGAAAATGATAGAAAGCAATGGGAATGAAGGAAAGTATTTGGTTTTATATAGAGATATGAATGGGCTCATTCGCATTCTATAGAACTTGCAATAGATAAAACTTGAATCCTTAGGCAAATTTGCGTAAAAAAATATTTAATCAAGTTAAATTAAAATGATTAAAAGTAAAATTGGTTGAAAATTATGGATGGATGGATGCACGTGGGAACATGATTAATGGGGTGGGTGTCCCAACTTCCAAGATGGTTTGATTACCAGTTTGGCAAAGCTACTTGTTAGACGGTATGCAATGCAAGTTGGGAAGATTAGTTTCCTTTAAGCTTAATTGTTTGTGGGTTTGTGTGAGCATGCGTTTATTTTTGACTCAAGTTTCTTGATTCAACTTCACACCCATTTCCAAAGCCCTTTCTTTTATTGGTCTAAATCTCGAGGAATCCAATTGCTTGTCAAATCCCGTATTCTTCTTTCTTAATTCTGTGATATCAAAAATGGTTTCTATAAATGATGTCCAAAGATTCTATTAATTAGCGTTGGGATCACACATGAATTTGGAACGACTTCTCTTCATGCTACAGAACATGGTATGGCAAGGGAAATGCATGGCATGTCAAGTGTTCGACATAATGCTTCTAAAATTTCTAATCAGTATCTGCATGTTCCTACAAGCCTAAAGCTAAAAAGAGAAATAGTTGATGGACCACAGGCTCTAGATGGCATGTTTCAACATAACCCAGAAGACTAAAAAGACCAATTCAAAGATTAATGCTCCAACTAACATATGCCCTAGTATGATTGGGTAATTAGTTTAGTTGATATCTGATTAGTGGGTCCTTCCTCAATAGATTAATGAAGAATCATAACTATACTTGAGATGGGTGATGGGTGCACTGTTTTTATGGGATTGGGAGGCATAGATAATCTACACTGATTGGAAACTGTAAAAGATATATATATGCAAATCATATAATAATTTTATATGTGGTTTAGGCTTAGGAGAGAGGATTAGATTAGTGGGATTGATGTTATCAATGATTTTGGGTACCCGATGTTCTCTTTCGAACCTACTTGGAAATGTGTTGTTTATATATATATATTAGTTTTACTATTTGATCTCGACCAGGTGTTGGTCTGACATTGTACGATGAACATTAATCACAATGTTGTGAGATTGACACGATTGACAAAGTTAGAAGAGCTCAAGTTGCAGGCAAGATGGAATGTTGAAATAGGTATGTCGAGGTGAACCTACGCATGTGAAAGGACACCTTCACGTGGCTCTTAGTTGGTATTCCTTGTCTTGTGGTATATGTATATGAGATTTATTGGACTTTGAGGCATCACAAGATGATAACTTCACGTCAGGTCGGTGCAAGTGAACATCAAATATTCAATAAATTTCATTTTGGTAATTGTGGGGTACATTCTTTGCAGCTGTAGGTTTCATACAGAATGGAAATTAGCTTCATATATACATACATATGAAACTCGAATGGCACGGATGGTTCGGTGAGTAAGGGACATCTTCATATGGGAATCTAAGCCGTATCCTCTATTAAAATTTAAAACCATAGTCCCATACTTGCTTTTCCTGTTGACTGGATGTATTATTGTTTTCTTTTGGATTCTAGTTTATTGTCTCTCATAGCCGACTGATTATACCATGCATGTTGTGTGCCCATTTCCTTCTCCTCCAATACTAAATGTCTCTTGCCTTTACAAATAATAATAGCTGCTTTTAGTTTCGCATATGGATTAGCTTTGAAAATAAGGCCCATGATGATGTCAATTGCATTTGCACCACCCTTTTTTCTTTTCATTTTTGTCTAGTGTTTGTCAAGATTTGTGTATGATATTTCTGGGTTTAATTATAAACCAAACCTTGTGCTAGCTGTAATTTAATCTAATGGGGTAGACAAGTTGGTCAATTTATATTTTTGTGTTACATGTCTTGACCCATGAAGATATTGTATGCTATATGTGTGACCAGAACTGCTATATATATACTAGCAGAGTGGTTGAGAATAAAGTGAGAGAAGATAAATTAAAAAAAGATCGGCAAAAGCCGATGTATGGGAACTTGAAGCTACCAGCTTGGAGCTAGAGCAATCGAACTTCTCTCCATTCCTAACCCCACCACTATATATAACACCCCCGATTACCTTCATGCTTTAAGCTGTGGTATCCAGAGTTTGGTTTCATTGGATCTTCTCTCCCTGTAACTCCAACTACCACCTTTTATAGCTTCAAAGATCATCCAGCTCCTTAACAATGAAGGTAAGGGATCAGGTCATTTTTTAATTGTCTATGTACGTATGTACTTTATATGCATGTCCGAGTTGTAGAATTCTATAAAACTTGTGTCTTCATTTTCAGATTTTCAGTTGGATGCAAAGCAAGCTGAATGCCAAGCAAGTGACTAAAAAGCCAGATAAAATTGCAGCTAATAGTAAGCTTTCCTTCAACTCTATTTTTTTCTTCCTTTAAGCTGATGATTAGCTTTTCAGGTCTTATGTATTGATATTATACCTTTTGCTATAAATATTTATCTTAGTTAATAAGCTGCATGCTGTATGTAGCATGAACCTGGATGCGGCACTGGATCTCTCGAGTCTTTATTCAAGTTGTCTTGCTTCTTTGGTTTTAATTTAGTGATTTATGAATTTTAAACTGATTGAATAAACCTTGTCAAGAAACGAGAGTGGTGATATTTATCTTAGTTAATAAGCTGCTACTGTTTTACCATATAACTCCTAATATTGGTGAATGTATAGCATGCAGATAATTATGGTATATACTGCATCAAGACATGGATAGCAAACAATAATTGATTTTTATGATGATCTTATGTTCATTTAAACCAAACTAAAACTTGATTTGAGGCAAGTGAGCTAATAATGATGAAGAAGGGATTGTATCCTTCATAAATCATCAATATGAATGTTGAACTAAGTTCGTAGTCTATGGAACTATCTGCAAATAGGGATACATGCTTCGAAACTGGAAGTCTTGAGCATATGAATATCTTCTCATGTAAGGCATGTAGATCCTTTCTTAGTTCTATGCCCTAGATAGCTACATGAAATACAAACTCGGATCCAGACTCAATATGACCTACAATCTTATGGACCAATCTGTGCTGGACCATAGCCCGAACAGGCCAGACCGATGACCCATAATTTTATAGGCCAATTAGTACTGGGCCATGATTAGAAATGGCGTGGTCTGTCTGGCTTGTCTGCTTTCTTGGCTGAAAGTAAGCAGAATCCCAAATAGCAAGTGGCTTCTTACTGAGAAACAGTATTTACTTGTTTACGTCATTTATTGCTATGATATCACGCACAAAACCCTTGGTGCCTGAAAGTGACATGAACTGCTGGAAATTTTGCTAAAAGAATATGGACCTTACAAGTTTGTTTGGAGATTTTGGATTTAATGAATCGTGCTTCCGTGGAACAATTTTCATCCATGTAGTCTCCACTCTCAAAATTAGACATTCAGAATACATTCAGTTTGGTGGGTGGCTTGTTAATATGAACTAAAATGGATTAACGAGGTTTATTCAACTCTAATTATCTTCATAATTGTTTCATAGATCATATGGCTCAAGCTACATCCAAAGAAGAATTTAGTGATTGGCCTCACTCACTACTAGCAATTGGAACATTTGGAATCAGTAACTTGAAAGCAGATTCAGAAAGCGAAAGTCAAGGTCCAAGTCAACGCTATCCACAGTCCCCAACACCTGAAGAACTCCAAGAAGAAGAAGAACTAAACTCTTATTTGGAGACAGCAGAATCAGAAAGTCTTGAACCTCCATCACAATCTGTTTGTGAAGAAAGAGACATCCGTCTGCAACGTAGCATCTCTGGCATGTTCTCTAGAGGGAAGGACATTTTAATGGATCCAAAAAACAACGTCATCAGAAAGAAGTCACTGACTTTTCTCCTTAAGAACATGTTCACATCCAGAAGTAGGTTCAACCATGCTTCATTTGTAAGAGATTCATTACCCGACCCAACCTTGGACAAGTCAAGAATGGAGAAGGTATGAACCAAGATTTCTTTTTTCTTAAATGCACAATCTTGATTAAGAGATGGAAAGAATAATGTGAAATTGTTTACAGGTATTGAGGGCGATACTAAACAAGAAGATACATCCCCAAAGTTCTACTGCCAAGGGAATGCCAAAGAAGTACTTGGGGGGGAAAGAGATATCCATGGGTGAGGATGATGAGGATGATAGCGAAGGAAGCATATGGGTTAAGACGGATTCAGAATGTAAGAAGCTAGTATGTTTTTCCTAGTTCTTGCATGTACCTTAAATTCCAATAGTGAGCATTCCCTATATCAATTATTTTATTATATATTGTGGGTGCAGATATTGTTCTAGAGATTTGATTGGGACCAACAACATTAGCATCTCCAATTAATCTTGAATTGCATGTACAAAGTGAAGAAGTTTGGATTAAAAGATGAAGAAAACAAGGATATCCTGACCTGTTGTGAAGAAATGTTGCTTGCACCAAACCATGTTTGGTTTTTTTCTTGACAACAGATTGATGATCTTTTTCCCCCAAAGGAATTTTTATCCTTGAGTTTAAGGCTCCTGAAACATGATTGCGGTTAATAAAATCTGTGATTCACAAGTGCTATCATGTGCCTATCTTCCATAATACAAACACAGCTTTTCAGGGTTTCTAATTTTTCCTTTTTCTTTCATAATAGAATTACAAGAAGATGATCTCCATCACACTAAATGGCTACTAAGATTTAAATGAACAACAGATTGTCTATACATAAGAATGCCACGACAAAAACAATTTCATAAACTTGATGAAACGAGTGAGAGCAACAAACACAAAATCCCCTTTCCATTCATTTTCTCCAAACGTTCTGGTAAGCTGAACACCGGATACAAATAGTTTATTTCTTCAGGTAATGAAAAAGATAATCAATCAAACAAAGAGCTTTCTAAAGATAAAAAAGAAACCATTTCTGATACTATCTTGCATAAATGATAAACCTAGGATTTATAAGGCCACCAGATCCAATGCTGCCTAGAACTTTGTTAAACTGCAACCTTCGTATTCAATTCTAACAACCTTTCTTCATAAACCCCTGCAATGAACCTCCCATCCCTGCCCCAACTGCTTCTGCAAAATATTTCACCTGAAAAGCGTACCCAATACAAAAATTAATATTCAAATGTACATATATATAAAAGATCATATAAATCACTAACGAGACAACCTCTTGAAAGGTCTTCTTTAAATCAAAAGCATCTCTGACTCGGCCATTTAAGAATATCCATGAATCATGAAAATCTGAAAAACACCACCACCACCACCACCATGATCAATCACTAACGTATGCAACACCCACATATGATAGATTAAAAAGAACCCCAAATCGGCACGTTTTTAAATTTCACCACTGTAAGGTTAATAAAAGAAATCAAGAAATAACAAGTACCATATCAATATGCTCCCTCCCATGTTTCTTTCAGGGTGGAAACACAGAGATGGCTTGACTTCTATTTAAGTGGTTTTATTATATCTATATAGATCAGAATCGAGAATCTTGGCATCTTGGTCATTTGTGACAACTTATGACACATCATCGAATTTGTAGGCAGCCAGCGGTAGCCAAATGCAAATGTTTAAATCTGACACGATCAAGAATCTAAACCATATCAAAGAATGCAATTAACAGCTAGGGTTATGAACAAGCCAACGAGTTCCATCCAAAAACTGTAGGGGTATTGAGATTGTTTTATTTTATTGTTAATTGTACTTGCTGAGTTCCAAAGGTGTGGACTATTAGGATCAGTACACCATAGACGATGTTTCTCAACTTCAACCCCAATGAGCACATAATGATTAAACCATTGAAAGTTTCAGATGGGCTTCAAGTTGCCAACTTGCTAGAGAACTACATACATACCAAGCAGATGAGATGAGATGAGGAAAAGAAACCTGGGGAGTTATCCGTTAGCATGTATATTTCTGTTGTTGAATATATCCCACCAAGAACAGTGCGCTTCACGTACCAATCAACACCATCCCCTTCATCACTTGAAGCATGCCAGAACTCATCAACCAGCATTGCTCGTTGTTTGAAGCTTGTTGGGAAATTTGACGGCTGTGCCTATGGCCATAATTGTGGTTGTTTACTTTAGAGGATCCAAATAACAGAATAATTTGGATATCAAGATGTATCAGTAGCTTACCTGAATGCTTAGAGCTTGAGGCCACTTTGATATGTATGGAGCTTGCATTAGTAAGCGAGCTTTAACAAGCTTTGCAATGCGTTCACTCGGTACCAAATCTTGTAATTGTAACTCACCAGAATCAATTGCATCAATAAGTTTTTGCAAACACTCGTCCATAAAATACTGTAACAAGAGCAAGGGCAATGGAATGTGAGGGGGGTAAAACGGTGAGAGCAGCTAACAGACTCAGGACTCATCAACTACAAAGTAATTATTGAAATATGCCAAAATGCATATGCTTTCCCCGTTTACTCTACCGTTGATATCTCTATGGTTCTCGGAATGAATTATTTTCCACGTACAACTCCCATAAAATTTTAGAATGCAGTGTGGTGAATGGAAGCCATATCAAATTCACAGAGATCCATTATGAAACTTGCCTAACCTGCTTTTTGTTGTGAGTTGTGACAGATTTCTATCTAGCTGCCACATGAAAACCACCTCTATGTTATACGTATAATTTGTTTGTACATCATCATCATCCACCAGAGCTTTATTATATCGTCTTACAGCAAGCTCTCTATGAAACAACAGATAAGCTAACAACCCCCACCACAAGAGCGTAACATGAATGCAGCTTACTTTACAATCATGGACACAAATAAGCAGTGACAGATCAAATAAAGACAAGATAGTTATGAGATTACCTTCAGTGAGATGGTAGCATAAAACTATTTAATTAATTTCCTTAACAAATAAGACCTAAACATATCATGATCAAGACGGATGAATAAGTATGCAAGCAAACACAAAGCAGGTTCATTCTGTGGTAAACCACAACGTATACCTCTACTAATGCACCTTCTTTTCGTGGAATAGCTCCGACAATGGAAGGGGAAACACCAACATCCCTTGCACCTGCAATCATTGCTGGTTCAGTCCATCCCAATCTAATCTGCAAAAAAACGAATTGACCAGCTAACTAAACCAGTACTATGTGACTAAGAGAGAAGTTTCTGCCACGTAAGTGGAGTAGGGAGAGCACACTGGAAAAAAAATGAGGAAGACAGCAACGATGCACAATATGCATGCTTGAACTTGGAATCACTGTTTGATAGGTTGCTTTTGGATTAATTACTTAGCATATGCACCTTCAACAGTCATGCATCCCAACCCATGACATATATATATTATATGCTTGTCAAAACAAAGGGAAAATGGGGGTTTTTTTTTTTTTTGGGAGGTGGGAGAGGGAGGAAGTGGGTTTAACTGAAGGGAATAAATGGACAGCATCTTTCTCAGGGTGTGTAGCAAATACAAAGATATGGATCAAATAAGTTGATAGATATTCAGACGGCTCTTGCATGCTACTTCTTAATTACTGGCTATTCGTTTACGGGCACTTCTTGTATTCATTATGGTTGCATATATACATATATGCATAAAGAGAGGAACGCTTCACAGGATTGTCTAATTCTCTACGGGAAAACATGAATAAAATAACCTGTCTACTCACACATCTCCTCTTGCTTAGTAAAAGTCCCTTCGGTAAGTCAATTTTCCACCACCGTACATGTAATGAAATCAAGCTACAATTTTTCTTTCAGTGTCTTCTTTTCTACCCTCACCATTTTCTAGACTAACCTCGTGAATGTCCGATCTTATTTGTTGGGGAAAAAAAAACTCCCTATATTCATATGTCAGCGAAATGCACATGTGAGAGAAATTCTAGAGGAGCTCATATAATTTTTCACATTAACTAATATTGCAATTTAAGGAATTCAAACCAGTCATTCCAATTAATTTGAAAGAAAAAAGGTATGTTAGATACATATATACTTGAATCTAGAATTATAGTTCAAAAAAAGAGCAAAGACAGTTTGAAGCTTGGTAGATTTGAAACTCAGGTTGTGATTTAAAAAAGGGAAGAGAGAATAGAATAGTGTAAGGTACCACGTGATGAAGAGATGCGGCGAGCACTCGAGCTTGTTCCTCTTCGTAATTAGCCCTAGGTGTAGTTCTTCTTGAGGCACCAGCAGCAGCACCGGTATCGGAACGATGATGAAAACCATCTCCTTGGGCGGATGAGGTGGTGTTGAAACCATTGAGGGTTTGATCAGTAGAGAGAAAACGAAAAGGAGGCGGTGGGATTGGAATTCGAGAGCATAAAGATGGAAGCAATCGCCTGGCTGCTGATCGATACATTTGCAATGGTGGGTTTGATTCAGTGATGGAAGAAAGGAAGGAAGGACGAAGAAGTTGTTTTCTATTTTCTGTTCTTATTTTGGGGGTTTCTTGGTTCCACGTGTACTCGATTTATTGCCACAAATTGCTTCCTATTCCTATTCCTATTCCTATTATTACTCATTCCCTTAACCTTTTTAACAACATTGTCATTGTTGCTTATAATTTACCTCATTTTATAATAAACATGGTTTGGTTTTGATGTCAGAGTACCATGATAGAAGTACTATCATGTGACTATTTTGCATTTCTATCTGGTTCCAATGCAACTGAATTGGGATTTTGGAGACTTTATGGTAGCTTGGGTGGGAAGCTACGGTACGTTGTATATAACTTGGGAAGCTACGGTACATTGCATATAACTTGGGAAGGTTACAAAAAGCTCTCGTCAGATGCTACTTGCATTTTGAAGAGTTAGGTGACATGTACGCCGCTTGTGAAGTTGTGTACAGGTTACCTACAGATTCCGATTGATACCACCAGGAGGGGGAAAACAAAATCGATAGATGGTCAATTAAGATATGACATTATGTTTAAAGTGTAAACTATTGTAAGGTAATATTTTTATCATTTAATCTTCAATATACTTATTTGTCCATCCATGTAAATGTTCAATATCATATCAATAATGGAACTATGTTAAATCATTGTATCGTTGTTTGTTTGTTTTACATTCCAGTTGTGATAGTGGTAGCATTATCATTATTGTCTTTGCTTGTGAGAATTGAGTGCATTGGGTGCCTATTTATATTATGTTGTTAAGTGTTGCATGTCATTTTGTATATCAAACTATATGGCGCATCTTCTGTATAACAAGTTCTTCACTCCAACAATTTACAATATTAGCAATCGTATCTGAAGTCACTGCAGTGTCGTTGGTGGTTCAAACAACCTAAGATTGGTGCATTAGGAGGATTTAGGTGGAAACTAACTAGCTATTTAACCTTATCGATTGCTAATAATAATTCAAAGTTATGGTTGGATAATGTTGATATTGCTCATAAGTTTGGCCTTTGTAATTGAATGATTAGGTAATAAAGTAGCATCTGCATAGCATAACTAATTGAGCTTTAAGTGATCCATATATCTATGGCGATTTTGAATAGATGTGTTCATGATGTAGTAACGACTTGGTGCGCTAGATGATGTTAGTTGATTTGAACATGTATTTTTTGTTATTAAAATTGAAATATTGTGTTTGAAATTCACATTGCTAAGAGTACTAGTTTTGAGCAAGGTTTTTTTTTTTCGGTGTACATGAAAATTTTCTTCTAAATTGAGAAACGAAAGATTTTGGTGAAATGGACACGTTAGCGAAAGACACCGATCGAGAACATCAGTAAAGAGCACAGAAAGCATGACAATCCAGGGGGCTTGAAAAAGAGATGAGGTTTGCTTGAGAAGGATGTGGGATGAGTAGCTAAGTTTAACAATTTTCACATTCAGTTGTGATAAAGGCCACATTATTGTGTTGTTTTCTTATAAAATTTGTAATTTTATTGTTCAGGGCCATGTGACCCAAACCCAATTACAATGGGCAATCCAATTGAGAGAGAGAGTGTGGTTAAGGGAAAAATTATAAAAAAATTAAAAACCGAGAAACACTTTGGTAACCATTCATCTAGATAGTATGTACATATGTATACAAGTACCTGAAGTTGTTTTTGGTTTTTATGCATATGTGCATACCAGACAAATTACTGGTATGTATATTTGTGCATACAAGTCCACTCCAGATGAACGGTTAACAAAATGTTCTTCAATTTTTGATCTTTTACGGTTTTTCCGCAAATCTGATGCTATATATAGTTTATATTTAAGTGGTTGGTTTAAATTTGCATAAAGTCATTATTCGATTGATCCATTTCCACACAATGCTTCACTTACAGTAAATTTGTAATCTAAATAAAAATATATGATTTGTGAAGTCGAGAGCTCTGACTGGCTTCAAATCTTCCTTGGTTGACTCGAGCGGCTTGACCCCAACCTTAACTTCTTGTTCAGGCCTCCTCCTCCTCCCTATCCCATGCATCCATCCATCCATCCATTTATGCAAATTATTATATATGCCCCCCCCCCCTCCCCTCAGACACTTATCTCTTCTATCTTTCTTATTGCTTCATTCAGCTCCATTCTTTGCTCAACATCACTTTCCGTACAGGCTGCTCCGATATGGAGAAGCTTCTCCATCTCCCCAACTGACTCTCTTGCCCCCGATGCTATTTCTGGATCAATCAGCTCTTTTTCCCTCTTTTCAGCAAGCGCTGATCGAACCCATTGCACCACGTCTGTCCCACCCTTTTGGTTATTGAAATATTGGGATGGGTATTTCCCTGTCATGATTTCAAGGATGATGATACCCATGCAATACACGTCGCTTTTTGCAGATATTTTCTGGTTTAGCATTGCCTCCGGTGATTTGAATGCAAACATGCATTGTGCTGTTGGGGTTTGGTTAACCAATGGATAGAAAGCGTAATCACTCAGAAGTGGCTCGTAGTCATTCCCAATAAGCACATTGCTCGACTTTAGATTCCCATGAGGCAAATCATATGATGCAAATTCTGAATGAAGGAAACCCATTCCTCGAGCAACTCCTTTTATGATCTTTAATCGATTACTCCAATTTAATTCTGCATGGGAATTCCCACGATCACCTGCATGGCATGCATGCATTCATTTACGTATTAATCACTACAACTTTCATATATATATATATATATATATATACCCCCCCAACACACACACATATATATATATATATATATTAAAAAAAGTAAGAAATAATATATTATGGATATGGATCGTACCATGTAAAACATAGAGCAAACTGCCTCTTGGGACATATTCTGACACCAAAAGCTTCTCTTCTTTCCTGTAATGATATGCCAATGGTGTCAATATGTTTTGGTGCTTCAATTTTGCTAGCTTCCTCACCTCTGCATCAAACACGTCCTTGGTCATTTGGTTCATCTCTTTCACCCTTTTCACCACAACAGACACTCCATTCCCAAGCATTGCCTTATATGCAGACCCTAACCCTCCATTTCCAAGTACCTCGGCTGCAGCCTTCATCAAGTCGTGTAACCCAAAAACTCCCCTCTCTTCATTCACCATCACTAGGTCTCCCATTGACCCCCCTGCTGGTAGGGTCACACCCCTTTGAGATGGACGGGATGGTGCTTCTTTCTTTTCCTTAACATTCACACTGCTAACCATAGTGTTGTTATTAGTGTTATCTTTATTGTTGTTGTTGTTGTTGTTATTGTTGTTGTTGTTGTTATTGTTATTGTTGTTGTTGTTGTTGCTACTATTGTTGGTGGCGGGGGCAGCGGGGGTGACGGTGGTGGGGGCAGCGGGTGTGACGGTGGTGGGGGTGTTGTTATTGTTGAAGTTTTCATACGATTTTCTACTAGTGCTTGTGGTTCTCTTGGGGACGGTTGGGATATTAACAATAGCTTCATCAACACGTGGTTCCTTACCTGAAGGTCTCACATGATCTTCTTCTATTCGATTTGCTTTAGCCAAAATGATCAAGATTAACAAGGCCACAACAACGATCATTATGATCCATTTTGTCGATGATTTTGGTCCTGCTGACGGCTCTACATCTGGTTGCGTTGAATCTTCTGCCTTGCATTCTTTCTCGAGTTGTGGGCCACAAAGATCAGCGTTGTTTTCAAACACTTTGGCATCAAACTGGTTCAAACTCTTAGGTATTTCACCTTCTAGTTTATTATTGGACAAATCAAGATTGGTTATGATGTCCGGGTCCGAAAATGCTGGAATGGGTCCGGAAAATTCATTGTACTCTAAATGGAGTTCCTTAAGATTTGGTAATTCACCAACGGATATCGGAATCTGGCCGGAAAATTTGTTATGTTGCAGCCAGAGTTTCTTCAAAGATCCCAATGTTTGGAAAAAATCAGAAGGTATGACGCCGGAAAATTGATTAGTACCAGCATAGAAAGCTTTTAAATAACGAAGACGATTTATTTGAGGCATGGGGCCAAGGAAAGAATTGTTTTCTAGGCTGATGGCTTTAAGACCATCAATAACCTCCAAGGCACCAATATCAGGTTGTCCTTCAAGACCCATGCCAGAAAGATTGATGCTGCTAACCATACCATTTGCACAAATGATACCAATCCAGACATTATTAGGGTCACAAGGGTTGGAACCGTCGTCTTTCCAATTGGTTAAAGAATCTGATTTGGAAAAAGATTTCTTGAGTTGGAGGAGGGCATTAGAGGGTGATTGTTGAGAGAGACATGAAAGTGGGAAAAGGGACAGGAGAAGGAAGAAGGAAAGGTGGTGGCCACAAACAGCGGCCATGTTTGGTGAAGCCGGGAGGGAGATGGCTCCGAGAAGAAACGGGCCGCTGTCTGGAAAGAAAAAGGGTTTGATGTTTGAATGGTTGGAAAAAAGAGTGGTGGTGGATGGTGAATTTGGATGGCGTGATGATGGGATGGGATGGCATGGTGGTGGTGTTAGAGAAAATTAAACAACGGTTGGTGGGTAGAAACTGGAAACTCGACAACTCCGAATGTATAGTCAATCAGATTCCAGGTGGTGGTTATCATTTCATTGAAGTTGTCAAACTTTATGACGATCTCCTTCTTTTAATCTCCTCAAACATGCTATATATGATTTCATTTTTAAAGTTGATGGATTAATAGTAACCATGCATGTCTTACAAATTAAAGACCACCACCAACCGACCAACTTTAGATTTAACTACATGTATATGGTACATTCATTTAAATGGGTTTTAAATTTCTAACTAAAATATATCTCATATTTAAATATCAACCGAATTGTAATACATTTTATTTCACTTGAGCGTACTACAATTAAGTTAATGTTCAATATATATATATATATATATATATAATCATCACACTACCGGCTCGGTCTTGAGGTACTTATTATGTTCGTTTCTTTTCTTTATTCACGCATCAACATGGGTTCAAATTAGGGCTTTGAAGTTGGTTGTGTGAAGAAATGTAGTGGTAAGATGCAAGAAGCAATTAATATGAGGACACAAGAGTTGGTGAAGCAACAAAATAGCAGGATCAAGAGTAGTCAGAGGTAAGGATTGGATATATATATATATATATATATATATATATACAATGTAGTAGGAAAGAAACAGAAGACCACAACAACAAAGGAGGAGCGAATCAGCTAGCAATGATGATTGAGGAAATCAGTTGTGAGGGAGAAGAGAACACCTAACGTAGGTGAGTGTGTATTAAAGGGTAGGATCAAGAAATAATATTGTGGTTGATTACATAAAGCTAGCTTTTGGTTGCTAAAATTCATCCAAGTCTTCATAATTAAGCAAAAAAGAAACATTATATAATGACAGGTTAAATAATCCATTAAACTTGTTAATAAAAATAATAATTTGTAACAAGCTAGTGAAAAAAATAAGTTTTTAAACTAATTAACTAAAAAAAATACACCCAAGTATATAGCATTTTGATGTTGATGTGAGGTTGGACCGGAGTTTTCAGTCATTTCTTGTATTACATGACAAAATATCACATCATTTTTATATTGTTACATGAATGAGATAATGCCTATCGAAACCTCTGAAGGTCGGGATTGCAAATGGAAGATGATTGATGGTGAAGACATTTCAAAGACAATCACCGACATGATAGACTTAGTTGAAAGAAAACAATGACCGTTAAAGTGGAAGGTAAGAATAATCGTTATGGTAAGTAGCATGCATATATGTTCTATCGAGAAAAAACACCCAACATTATTCACTTATTGATGATGATGATGAGGATTGAACAAGATTTAATAGTGATCCAACAATCATTTATTTCTTCTTATCAAAATATTGTAGTTCTAATTTATTTTTTACTAGAATATTATAATTTACAAAATCCACTCAGAATCATTATTAATTTAATTTTATAAAACAATTTCAAATTAAAAGAACTCTCAATTTTATAGATATCGAGTAGAAATTAAAAAGGTATAGAAACCTAAATAACATGTCAACCTCAACCTCAACCTCAACCTCAAGCTGTGGATTCTTTGAATTGTAAAAACAAACTATCAAACACACATTAGATCACAACGGGTTCAATGATTGGATAAATCATAACAATGAAACACTTGAAAAAATATTCATTAAGATAATTTGTTGGATGTCTTGACAGGAATTTACTCAACCAGCCCAATCCTTTAATTATGTTCCTTGAAATTTCTGAAACTAAAATTGCAAGTAAAACAATTTGTTGATACATTCGCGTTCATCACCAAACACGAAAATGGATTCTGGTCATGCTCTATAAGAATATTTAAAAATTCTACTCTTAAATCATATTTTTTGAACTCCCACCACACATCCCTGTTTACCACCACCTTCAACCATCTCTGACCAAACCCCCAAAAGCTCACCAAACCGAAGCCCACATATTGGATTAATTTTCTGATCCGAATAAACCTCAATCTTCATTCCGCTAAATTTATCGACAAGATTATCAATTCAATATGATGATGGTTTTCGTTTAATGCGATAGTTTTGTTTTATCATTACTATATATTATTATTTAAAAGAAAAGTTATTGAAATAGCTATTTTTCAAGGATAGTTTCATCTACTAGTCATTTTCTCTCCAAGTTTACCAAAATAGCCATAGATCCGCAAAATCAATGTTCGCAATTGTGGAACCAACTAAAAGACCAAAAAAAAATTATACTTTCTACCCCTGTTTGCAAAAAAAATTATATTTTTCACTCAAATCTGCAAAAAATTTACATTTCTTATCCGGATCTGCAAAAAAAATTATATTTCTTACTCGAGTCCACAAAAATAAAATTATAATCATCGAACCTAGTACTATTTCTATTTTAGTAAACCTTGTAAATAAATAAATGGTTAAAGGCGAAGGGGTTTTAACTAATGTAATAACATTTAACTAAGCTGATACTTTAGTAATTTACTGTTTGTTTAGAATTCTGGTAAGTTTTAGACAGGGTTCTTGAGAATAAATTCTAAAACCAAATTTTAATCCTCTCTCATCTGAATGAATCTCATCTTCCTTCCTTCCTTCCTTCCTTGATTCCTTCACCAAATCCAATTCAACTGCTACCACATTTGGTTACTACGTGTTTCTGCAACCTCATTTACACTCATCATCATCCCTTCACTTTCATCTAATTTTCATCCAATCGTGGTGGATACCCTAAATTCATCGCCTTCTATGTGGCGCTTCCACCACCGCCGTTGGATTCATACCCTCTTCTCTTCTTACAAGACCCTTTTCACACTCCTTTGGGTCTTCGGATTCACATCCCTTTTCCTATGGCAACGCAACATCGTCGATGGCTTCTTCATCTTCCGCCGTCCCCTCCCTTCTCGACCCTTGCCCCACCTCCGACCCTTCGCCTTTAATCTTACGGATTTTGGGGCTGTCGGAGATGGCGTCACTATCAACACCAAGGCTTTCGAAAATGCTGTTTTTACTATCTCTAAGCTAGGGAAGAGAGGCGGTGGTCAGCTCAATATACCTGCCGGGAAATGGTTGACGGCGCCGTTTAATCTAACAAGTCATATGACATTGTTTCTTGCTGAAGATGCTGTCATAATTGGCATTGATGTGAGTGTTGTTACACTGCTTTCTTTTTTCAATCTGAACCAAGCAAACTTCTTTCGAATTTTATTTATTTACCATACATTCTTGGTTGACCACATATAGATAACTCAATCTCAATGTTAGTACGATAGATTACTAGTAAATCTTGATCACTTTAATCGGTCTAAAATTTGATCGTTATAATAGCCTGTTATTAAGCTTCCATTAATTAGAGTTCCATTTTTCATTAGTTAAGGCATCAGAATGCTGTGAGAGCCCTTTGCAAATTAGAGCTCCATCGGAGTTAAATTTCAACTGTTTCTTAAAGTATCTTCTTCCTTCAGCAATTTTCAGTGACAACTTGATTGGATATTCAAAGTTTTATAGGGGCTACAATATTTGTTTGGTTCTCTCTTGTTTCGGATGAATATGATGGTGTATTAGTGTATCTATGCAATTCCCTTTTCTGTCGTAAGAAAATGGAATGCATGAAGAATTTCTTGAAGATTTGGACAACTTTTCTCTTGGCACATGTTAGTTCTTATAGTTTTGAGCTCTCAATTCTGCTGTCTACATGGACTTTTAAGGTTTTTTTTGTGGGCATTCCTAATGTGAAATCGTTTTTTTGACATATTTGTCACTTGGTAACAATTGTAATGGATTTATTTAACAGTTAGCTTGTTTGTTGGTTAAAAGTAGATGTGCCTCAACCATTTGGGGATCGGGAGGGGGGTTTACTTGTATGTTCTCGAAGTTTGCCATGCACATAATGTGCGTAATAGTATTTTTGATGGATGATTAGATCTCTAGAAGACGGAATGAGACATTGGTAATAGAGTACTGGTAAAGGCTTTCCCTTTTGTATGCAAGGTCAAATTTGGATGATTAAATTTTATAACTTCATCTAAGCAGAATTTTCAAAATGCACATTAAATTTTCATGTTGTAGGTTTCACTTATCCAACGCTTATGAATGTAAGTCATCAAATTATCTTACGGAATGTTGTATTTCTACACATATACATCATACATGTGCTCCAAAAACAAACAAACAAAAGGAGTTTAATATTTTTGGAACAGAGGGAGTGTATATCTCACATTATTTGTTGTTGCTTCCTTCAAACTACTCCCTGCAATCCACTATTGAAGTCCACTTATAATTTGAAATTTTTATCCTTGTACTTGTTTAAACATGAGAATGAACATAAACAAATGAAAGTAAACATGAACAAAAATGTTAAATTCGATTTGCGACTTCTTATGGATCAAAGAAGAAATAAATTTCTATAGTCTAATCAGGTGAATAGTTGCCATATTTTATGTTTCAAGCTTATTGCAATCACTTATGTAAAGGAAGAAATTACTAGGAAGGTTGTAGATGAACTAGAGACCCAGTCCACAAAAGAACATCCTGACTAGATTTGCATTGAATAATCAGGAATACATGCATTGGTACATGATTATGTCATCTAAAGCTTGATATTGACATCTTCGGTAAGGTCTCATGACTTTTTATAATGCTTGTGTTTACGTATCTTCATTTGACAGGATGAAAAGTATTGGCCTCTAATGCCTCCTTTGCCATCTTATGGTTATGGCAGAGAGCATCCTGGACCCCGGTATGGAAGTTTAATCCATGGTCAGAATCTCAAAGATATTGTGATCACAGGTAAGAACCTTTTCTGCAGTCAAGACTTCATAGATTCTTTTGATGCTGACCTACTAGTAACCTTTAGTAATTTCTATTCCCTTCAGCAAATTACCTTTAGATTTGTTGCATCTGTAATCATTCAAGAGATTTTAGAAATAGTTGTGGGTGGGGAGGGCGAGAGGGTGCTATGCATCAAAAGATGGATTGCTTTCTACACCAACTTTTTTTGTTAAACTGATTTGTTAGTTGCCTGGTGATTTTGGGCATCAAACACTTTCTTTTACGTACTCCCTGAGGTTGAACGGTAAGATATACCATTTATTCAAGGATAAATAGCCATGAAAAATGAGGAATCAGATTTGTCGGTATATTTTTTAATATTGTATGCGAGGACTGGGAGGGGAACCTCATACTGACGTGTATGATTAGTATGAAGTGACCAGAAAAGTGTCCATGGATGCATACTTGAGCTGATGATATATACGTTAATCCTGACAACAGGACATAATGGTACCATTAATGGGCAGGGTCAAGCATGGTGGAAAAAGTATCGTCAAAAGCTTCTTAACCACACGAGAGGCCCACTTTTGCAGATCATGTGGTCAAGTGATATTCTGATATCTAACATCACTTTGCGTGATTCACCTTTTTGGACACTCCATCCTTATGACTGTAAGAATGTAACAATCAGACATATGACAATCTTGGCTCCCATTTTTGAGGCTCCAAACACAGATGGTATAGATCCTGGTAAGTTTATCATTGTTATATATATCTGCAGTTTTTTGGTGTTCCTTTTTTGCTTATTTTATCATCCTTGTAATGGTTTGGACAGATTCTTGTGAGGATATGGTAATAGAGGACAGCTACATAAGCGTAGGGGATGATGCCATTGCAATAAAAAGCGGGTGGGATCAGTATGGAATTGCTTATGGGAGGCCATCAAAAAATATTGTCATTCGGAACCTCATAGTTCGGTCTATGGTTAGGTGAGATAAAGATCTCCTTGTGGTTTTGTTATATATGTTATAGAATTTGAATATGGATGTGTTTAAACTTGGGCAGTTCTGGAATATCGATAGGCAGTGAGATGTCAGGGGGTGTATCAAATGTGACGATTGAGAATATTTTAGTGTGGGATTCGAGACGTGGTGTTCGAATCAAGACAGCTGCAGGTAGGGGAGCATATGTGAAAGACATCAAATATCGGAATGTGACATTTGAGAATGTGAGAGTTGGGATTATCATAAAAACGGATTATAACGAACACCCGGATATGGGTTTCAATCGAGAGGCTTTTCCTGTGATAAGGGACATAAGATATGAGTCGATCCATGGAGAGGGAGTGCGGGTGGCAGTTCGTATGCAAGGGAGTTTGGAGATTCCTGTTAGAAATGTGAGTTTCAGGGATATGTCTGTAGGGATGAGAGACAAAAAGAAGCATATTTTTCAGTGTAGTTATGTTGAGGGAGGAGTAATAGGGAGCATATTTCCAGCACCATGTGTAAATCTTGATCTTTATGATGAACAAGGACTACTTGTCAAGAAATATGGTTCAGCAAATGCTTCAGACATAGATTATGATATTTAGAATATGTTTTATTTATTTATTTATTTACATTGAAGAAGATTTGTTGTAATGGTCTTAGAGTGCAGAAACCAAAATAATTATAAAAAGTAGTGATTATTAATACCATGATACAATGTTGAGTGGAGTCTATGAATCTGATTCCAAAAACTGATGGTAGTGAGTCAATTTTATTGTTTTGATGTGACAAAATATGAGCATAGTTTCGTTTTTTATGCATTAATTATCTATTATTATTTATTGCGAAATGTTAGGGTTTTTGGTTTGGATCTTTAATCGTTAACTGTTAATTGTATGGTGATGATTACTTGTCTAGAGATATGGAAAAATTTACAAGAAGAAATCATGCTTTACTTTTGCTAGCAAAAGTCAAATTGACTTTTATTTTTAGATTGCTTTTTACCCAGTTTTTGTTAACGGCTAACTTTGCTTTTAGATGGTGATGGTGAAAGTTTTATTACTCATAATTTTTAGCCGATAACCATTGGAGCCGTTTACGACAAAGGCTTGGGGGAGACACAAAACTCATAACCATTTTCTTCATTTCTATATATATTTTCTTTAATTTAATTTATATTATATTATATTTTATATACTTAAAGATTATCTAATCTACCAATGATGATACGTATAAATATTATTTGAAAATTGTTATAAACATTTAAATAAGATTTAGAAACATGATTATAACAAGAATTTAAAATGGTAAGAAAAAGAATGCAAGGACCAAGGTGATAGAGTAGTGTTTTGGGTTGGTAGGTTTGATATTTATTAATCATGTGGACGTCAGTGTTAGTGTCAGTGGGTTGGACCAAATTCATTTTAAGCTTTTATTCACGTGTCCAAAAACTAAACCTACACATTTAATATAAATGCTTGGTTGATTTATAATCCTAACAAGTTTTCATATTTATTTTCTTTTTTCTCTTGGTCAATTAATCCTATCCTATCCTATCCTATCTAGTTGAGTACAACTTCCTCTCATATGTCTTTTTTATTGCTCAAAACTCCCCATCCCTACAATGTAACTAATTTAATGAGTTACATAACTCAGTCTTAAACATTAATTTTAATTTTAATTTTGTTTCCATACAAATTAATTATTTACGGAGATGAAAAAGTATTCCATAGAATCTTTTCTTTATTATTATTAAAGGGATGGTAGTTGTATTTTGTAATGATTTTTATTTTAAATTTAAGCTTTTTAAATAAACCAAGATTTTGGAAATTTTCTTTCATAAAAAACCATTACAGATCTGTTTAAATAAACATAAAACATATAATTAATTATTTTAAACTATAGTGTGAGATTAAAAGAAAATATAAATTTTTATGGGGTCCCTTGGCGTATAGTATAGTGTAGGATATGTGATGATAATTGAGTGGGGTGTAGGGGTATAGGGGGCAGGTGGGGCCCGGAAGACGCGTCATAAGTCATTCACATGTTTTCCTCGTGCTCTAATTCATGCCTTTTTTCTTGAAATGCAAATATTTAATTCCTTTTTCTTTCTATATAACTTGTTTGAATTATTTGTATTCATAGTTTTTCAATGTCTACTTCCTCTGAGATTGTGGATTCCAATCCTCTTCCCAACTCCAATTTCTCACATACCTTCAACCTTTTCACTCAATACTTGAAGAAGAAGAAGAAGGAGCAAGAGAACACACATCTCCCTCTTGGTATGTATCTTGTTAATTCCAACTTCAAATTTGTATAGATTTGTATATATTTGTAGTTGGGTTGGATTGGATTGGATTGGACTGGATGTGATGTATGAATGAATAGCCGGTTTACTGTAGGTATGGCATCATCCACCATGAATTTGTTCCCGGTGACCATCAAATCTACTCACCCAGATGTTGCTATTGCTAATGGTTTCCCCCAACTAGTCCCAAACAAGGTTGAGCCTGAATCAACCCAAATGACCATCTTTTTTGCAGGGCAGGTGATGGTGGTTGATGATGACAAGGCCATGGAAATATTTATGATGTTGGGTGGGAGTGAGAAAGGAAAGGATTGGATTCCCAAAACAGAACCTTCGGATCTGGTTGCATCAACACACATAACAAGGATGGAGAAGCAAGGCGTTAGGATACCAGGTAACCTTTTCTCAAAACCACCTACAGCTACAGCTACATCTACATCTACATCTACATCTACTAGTAGTTTAGTAAGCGATTGGTTTGTGTAGGTCTTCCTATTGCAAGGAAAGCTTCCCTTGCTCGATTCTTGGAGAAGAGAAAAGAGAGGTAACAAATTTTAAGGAAAAAAGCAACTGTTTTTTGTGTTAAAGATGAATCTTGATTATGGGTGACTTGAATTCAGGATCACGGCAAGAGCACCCTACCACTACCACTACCACAGTGACAAGGCATCATCGACAAGGGAATCTTCCTGATCATCGTTAACTACTACTACAAGTATTGTCATTTCTCATGGTTTTTACCAAGGCTTGTATCTCATCCATCATGTCTTGGGAGTAGGAGGGTTATACACGACAAGATGTCTTTCTAACTGTTTTTACATCCTATCGTATCCTTCTGTTATGATTTAAGTCAATGAAATTAATTTTCATTGTGTTTTATCCATCATATTAATCTTAATCTTAATCTTAATGTATTGTATTATGTATTATGTATTATAAACTATGTTTGAGGCAAGTTGATTTGTTGCTTTCTGTTTACTCATCACATCAGATGTATACATTTAGCAGACTTGTTATAATATTACATATTTTATATCATTGCTTTGTTTGTATGAATCATATTTTGTGGGATTTAAAATTGAATACTGTTTTTAAAATACTAATTGGTTTTAAAAAGCGATACAGTAAGATGATATGATTTTGTATGTAATATTATATTTATGGATCCATCCAAAAGAGCATGATGAAAACGTGGAAATAGTAGGCATCATACATCTTGTCTTTGCCTTTTTCTTTTTCCTAAATTCTATTATTAATTCATTTGGTGCCTTTCTATTTTTTTATTTACTTTTATTATTCATAACTTTTAATTGAATACCTTTCTAATTAGAATCTTTCCCTCTTTGTTTTTTTTCACCGCTATCTATATTATATCTATACTATATTATAAAGCATTTGGTTAAAACTCTTAAAACTCATTCATCCCTAATTAAACGATTTCATCCCTATCCGACTTCATCCTATATCTGAATTCGTGTAACGAACTACAGATAAATACAATCAAATACAAGCTAAACATCTCATTTTAAATATAAAACATCTAAAATATAATTAGTATAATCATTAAATTATAACAAAATACTTAATTATTATCTTTATAAAATTTATAATATTAAACCAAAAATAAATTGTTTTATTATTAAACTTAAATTAAATTATATATAAAAAATATATATTCTATATTATAAATCACTAGAAGCGTACTCGCACAATACAACGAGATATATCGTGATTTTAATATTTCATTTTATTCTTTACCTCAGTCGATGTTATAATATGACTTTATGTGATTTTGAGAAAGCGATGATATTTTTATTTTTGAATAAAATATAT